TTTCCAAAGATTAATTTTCGACCTGAATAAGTATTTTCTTTTTTTCTTCTTATTAATTTATCGATTTGTTTTCAAAGTTACATTTATCCATTTTTTATAGTTACTGTAAATATAGGAGAGTTAAATCTTCTAAATAAACCAAATTAAAGGTACTTTAGAGACGTATATGAACATTGGGCATTTAAGCCATGTAAAGTGACATCAATGGGGATAAGACCTCAATGATATTAAAGACCACTTAATTATACAATGATACACCGAGTTTAATCAAAATCGTTAGAGCAGTTTTTGAGAAAATCGTAAAAATGTGTTTCACCGAGGCACTTCCGATTAGCCTATTTTTAGGAAGAAGTTGCTGTCACATCTAAGGCATAAACCTATGTTAAATACGTAATATCAGTTTCGTATGACTTTTCGTTTTTGAGCTAGACTATTCACACACACACAAACAATTTTGCGGGACTTAGTTATTTGGACTCAGGGGACCACTAAACATGTATTTCCGTTGAAAACTGGGATTCGAAAATTTTCACGATTGCGATACCTTCCCTTACTATATATTCCATGTATAGTTAAGTGAAAGTCATTAAAAACTTTTTTATATTATAGAGAGATTATCATTTTTCTTTTTTTGTTGCCTTTACCGTTCAGGGTAATTGGCAACACATTTTATTTACACTGTTATAGAGGTTTATTATTTTTAAAAATTCAAATTTATTTCAGCGATTTTTCGTTGTCGTTTAATTTTTCTTTTAGGTTTCGAGCCATATCCAATTTTAGAGTTTTAAATGTATAACAGTCTTGAATGGTGTTTTGGTGGATCCAGTCCTCTTAGTGAGGTAGGCATGTGAGAACTCGCAATGTCCAATCCTATCCTTCGCAGAGGTATGTTTCTTCTTTCCTGGAGGATTGGTGGGAAGTTTCCCATTTTGAGCAGTTGGTTTTTATTTCCTTTAATTTGGATTAATTAATTCTTTCTGCTCTCACTTATTTTGCCACATTTCCCATTCATCCTTCTTAATTTTATTTAAAGTATTCTTTTATAGGAATTTAATTAATTGGTATCACCGGAATTGTTCGTGGCTTGCTTGCCATATTGGCTGTTTGATCGGCTTATTCATTTCCGGTGATCCAAGGGGACCTGAAGAACACTATTTCTTTACCTTTGTCCTTTAGGAGCCACCAAACGTTTCTTATTGCTTTTGCTAGTTTTTGGTTTGGTATTTTCAATGGCTGGTAATGTACTAAAGTGGCTGTAATGCTCTCCTTCAGTCTCCTCTGGGTTACCAGCTAAAAGAGAGGCATTGGGATCTCCTGGAGTCCTGCTTTGCCTTTCACTTTTGGAGGACAAACCTTGGCTCAAAGTTCCCTGAGCTAAGAAGATTTACTTTGTTTTTATGTACTTATTGATTGATTTATTATTTCAATTATGTATTACTGATGTACATATGTTATTATATTTTTTTTACTATTAATATTATTATTATTTATTTATTTTTTGTCATTTATTTATATTTTTAATTATTCTTATTTATTTCACTATTATACGGTATGGATGAACACATTCAGCCTTAATACTTATTGCCCTTTAATATGGCATATTGTATTATTTACTATTCAATAAAAAAAAAAAAAAGAAGGAATATATTCATCGCCAATTATTAATTTCAATTAAAATGATTTCCTTAAGGATTTAAATGTTGAGAAATTTAAATGCATTTGTAAGCATAATAGATAAAATAATACAACTATAAATTTTAAATGATTGGTATTAAAGTAGAAAAAAAGTGTTGTTTCTTTCTACATTTAAAAAAAAAAAAATATTGAATAGTAAATTATACAATCTGCCTCATTGAAGGGCAATAAGTATTCAGACTACAAGTGTTCATTCATATCTATGCCACCTATCAAAAGTGTATCAAGCACTATTTTGTAAATTATTATGGGCATCACCAGAGAGATAACTTTTCTCGCGAGCTAAGTCACAGGAGGGGGATTTCGGGCTAAAGCCCCCAGAAATAGATAAATGATTTTTCTTTATGAGAAGGAGTTAGTCGAGGGTGCGGTAAAATAAATAAAAAAAATTAAAATATATAAATTATTTTAATTTTTGCCGACGTTTCGACCTACTTTGTAGGTCGTCTTCAGGGCTACAAAAGATACAAACATGTTGTAAAAATAAAAATAAAATTTTTCTTTAATTTGCCCATATTTGTTATTGTGAGTGATCTAAGCTAAATACTTAAAAAAACAAAACAATATATTCTATTTTTATTATCCTAGGTATAGTAGGAAAGCATAGCAATGGGATCAAATTTCCGATGTGCGGTTTTCGACGGATCTGTACGTTTCAGAGCACTATGAGTTCGAAAAAACGCATTTTCAGCCATTGGTCTATCTGTCTGTGACGAGATTAGCTCGGAAACTAGTTGACCGATTTAGTTGCTTCTTTTTTCATTTTGTAGGGTTTTGACTAGTGATATCTGTTACACGAAATGGGTGCGAATAGCGAATTCTCTGCACAATAAGTGAAAAACATATTTTTCTATAGACTGTAGCGTAAAAACGGCTCTAACGATTTAGATGAAACTTTCCTATAATTTTCTAATTAACATACTTTCAATTTTCGTACTAAATTTCCGAGGAAATTCAGGAAAATAAGTTATAAAGGAAAGAAAAAAGTTTTTCAGCCTAACTCGCTAAGTATATATTCTATGGTAAAATTTATATGAAAACTTTTGAATGGCAATTAATTTACATACAAAACAAATCATTGGAATCGAACCAGTATGGTACAGCTTATTTTATTTTCCGTGGTTGTTTTAATTTATTACTTTTCTGCCTATACTAGGTAAGGAAATTATTGCTATCGGGTCAAATTTCCGATGTCCAATTTAACGCCGTAAAATCACTACCTCCATCGTACCCCTTTTTGTCAAATTATTAACATCCGCCTTAAATTTTGTAAAATAGCTTTATCTTATCGTGATCCACAAATTTTTTATTTACGAAAATTTTGGGAATTAGGGCGTTTTCCATCTGGAGATTGGTAAACTTTGTCTATTTAATTAGGTGCTAAAAACTCATGAAGACCCATTTGATTTCCACTTGTTCCTTAACATAATTTATATAAAAAATTCGAGAAAAAAAGGTTCCCTACAAAAATATTGGGCATCATCTCCACCCCCAACAGGTCAAAATAATGAGGTTATATAGGCCAAACGACCCAATTTTTTGTAGGCATTTTTTTTTTTCGATTTGTGATTAAATTATCTTAAGATTCAATACAACGCATTACAGTATTTATGACTTATTAATACCTCCTTAAATTCATTGATTTATTGAGAAAACTTCCCATTTCTGAGAATTTTAGTAGCTTATAGGTTACGATTAGTGTTGCCCAAAATCGGCACTTTGCAAGACCAAAACCAAGGTCGTATAACTGTTGCAAGACCAAGACTAGGAACTGGTAAAACAAATCGATTTTTCAAATAAAAATTAAGGCAAAATAGTTAATAATACTTGACAATCTTCGTTACTATATGTTAATAATTGGTATAACCAATGCACTTTTGCATTTAACTCTTCTGATTTTTCATTCTGCCTTAGTTAGGTTTCAGTAGTGGAGATACAGTAATATCTCCATAGCAATAAGCTAATATCAAGCTATATATAATCTAATATCACCATAGCAATAAGTTAATAGTAACTGCAAGACTGCTGCGAGACTCTTAGGCAAGACCAAGACCTAGACCAAGACTCATTTTGCAAGTCCAAGACTCGTCTCGGTCTCGCATTTGGGCAACGCTAATTACGATAACATGAAACTAACATAAAGTTTTATGCGGATAGTTTGATAAAAAGGTGCTGATGATTTTCATACGAATCATAGAACCCCAAAAGTTATTTATAATTTTTGTTATATTTTTTTCAACTGTCAAAAACATTCCTTCCAAAAAAAACGTTCAATAAAAAAAATGGTACAGACCCCTTTTTATCGAATTACTAACATTCGTCTGAAACTTCGTTAATAGCTTCATCTGGTCGTAACCTACAAATATTTGATTTACGAAAATTCTCGAAATCTTGGTGTTTTCCATCTGGAGGTCGGCAAACTTATTTAATTAGGTACCAAAAACTCGTAAATAACCATTTGCTTATCCACTTGGATCGTAAAATGATTTGATCACAAAATCGATAAAAGTGGGCCACAAAAATATTGGGACGTTTGGTGTATATAGCCTAGTTATTTTGACAATTTGGGGGTGGTGTGGGGGTGGTGTGGGGGTGGTGTAGGTCACGCCAAACGGCTCAATATTTTTTAAGGCCAATTTGTTTCTCGAGTTTGTGATCAAATTATCTTACGATTCAAGTGAAAAGAAAATTGGTATTTACTATTTGTTAGTATTGGATTGAATAGACAAAGTTTGCCGACATCCAAAACGTCCCAATTCCGAGAATTTTCGTAAATAAAATATTTGTAGGTTACGATGAGATGAAGCTATTTACGAAGTTTCAGCCAGATTTAATATTTATAACTAGTGGAGAAAATCCCAAATCCAAATTATTTTGGTCCTCCTACGGGTGTCATCGTAAATGTTGATTGTAATAATTTCTTAAATCAATAAGATTGTATGTCCACATGTTATCGTGAAATATTTTTACGCTCATTACTATACCCATGCGAATATATTACAAAATATTTCACATCATATTTATCTAATTAAATACACATTTTCAAATTCATTCAAATTTATTTTTTTTTTTAATTTAATTTATAATATACCACTTATTAACTAATTTTACCTCTTTACCTCTTTTTGATAAAAAGGGATCTATACCACGAATTAATAAGTGTTTTAACTGATTTTGAAATAAATTATTTAACTTAATGATTATCTATGTAACTGTAGGTTAATAAAGTAAATTGACAAATTAGACGTTACTATATTTTTTCATGTTCACATGTTTAGTTGGAAAGAAAAGCAAAGAATTTGGTAAAATTTTTTTTGTGTTTAATTAAAACAAGCAAATTGATATAATTCAACACAGTCTCAGGAAAATTCATTACAATTTATTATTGCCTAGAAATAATGTTATGTCTATCTTCCGTTATCAGATTATTTCGGACATTATTTGATTTCGCAATTAACCGGAAGAGTGATATTCATGTGACGATTTGCCTTTTGATTAGAGAAGTCCGGATTGATACCGCTATTTATCATACTCTGCCAATGCTTCGTAGCCACCGAATCTGGGAGGCAGAGGAAATCGACCGGTTTCAAGGCGGTTTTCGTCTCTTTGCAGTGGAAATTGCACAACCGTTGTTGGTCGATTGAAAAACAGGTGTCTCCACCATCTTGTATGGTCTTGACTAAAATGATATAACAGCTGGTCTGAACCCTTTTTTTTCTAGGTAGACTTGTGAGGCGCTCACTTCGGTTCCGGCGGCCAGCTTCCGTTTCCGATATCACATCATTGGGTATGACCTCTTTGGAATAGCACGGGACATTCCTCGCGAGTATGTGCATCTCCTTGGCTGACCCTCGGCAAGAGTCGTCGTTAATGGCGTAAGATGCTGCGAAATCTCGATGGTTCTTCATAATGCAGTTCCCCGGAGTTATGAAATCGTTGTCTCGCTCCCCGTCGAACACTCCGCAAAGGCCCCGGACTTTGTTTGAATAGTGGCTGGACATGGTAAGTTGCAGGCTTCTGCCATCGTAGATGAGCTGCATCCCATGGCTCTTTATGTCCAGGACGAGAGCGTTGCCAGTTCGAAGGGTGTGTGCATGCAATTCGTTTTTCCCTTTTAACCAGCCGGTTATTTTGTTCTCTAAAATTTGAATTCTTCTACCGTTGACACTGAAAGTCACTCCTTTGGATCCTGCAGGTTCCAGAGTCAAAACATCGTCCGCCAATAGGATTTGCACCATCTGTAATCAATAAACAACTCGATTTATTACAAATTATTTGGTTCATTTATATATTATTTGACCATTTAGCATTTGTCGATCCAGCAAATCGGATAATAAGAAAATAAACTTTTTAAAGAAAAATTTATATCAAGTATAATGTAAATTAATAGTTATGTAAGTTATGTAAGTAAGTATAGATGTCTTAGATAAGAAAATTGATCGGTGATTGTCAGTTTTTTAAATATTAGTTTTCAGTAGCGGCTTTAGCCATTGAGCCCCCACGCAATAACGTCACCTCATCCCCCCCCCCAAAAAAAAATTGATTTATTTCTCAATCTATTTTATATCATGTAATATTTTAATATTATTTTATTCAATATTTCTCTAATACAGTTCCTTTATTAATAGGCTAAAATTAATTACTTTAATACGTGATGTATATATTTTTTTGGAAATTCTTAACAAGTGGAGAGTGCCCCTCATGATCGGCTTCCTCAACGGGCACCCCGTGGCAATTGTACAAATTATTGTAGAATAATTTAACTTACTGTTTAATAGGTAAATCGATTTCAATCTTTTTATCTTTTGCATTCTTTTAGGAACTTTTTAAGGTTACATTCGTAAAACGTACAATAGATTTATAAAAAACAAATCTTGACTATGCTAGTTTTTTTGTTATTAAAAGTAAAAAATATTCTTAAAAAATTGCCACATAAATAGTTACTTCATAGCCTTAAATAAGAAAACCTTGTTACCAAGAATAAAGTCAGAAATAATTCATCCTGTTGAAATAAATAATCTATATTAGAATATTGGAAATATATAATGGCTTATGTATATAATAAATACAAAAAAATAAATATTTCAATTAAAAAAAAAATTATAATTTTCATTTCTTTCAACAATGCCTATAAGAAAAATAACTAAAATCCTCCTCATGTTCTCCAGATTCTCATTATAATGAAACTGATACGAATGTAAAGACCCGGGACACGAAATGGTCAAATAATAAAAGAATGAACCATTTGGTCTTGAAATAAAATTATAATATTTAACGAAATATTTTTTCTATACGGAAATTCGAATTCATGTACTAATTCGTGACTGTATGCGTCTTATGAATTGTATTAATTCGAATTTTTATTATTATCCGACATTTTTCGGAAAATACTTAAAAATTTAGCGGTTATGCCAAAGTCTATCTCAGAATGATCCTATGTACTCAACATTATCGAGTCGAGTTCAAAAAGAATTTTTTAGACCAGGTAGTTCCTGAAATTAGGCAATTCAAAAAATTAAACTTATTAAATTCCAAAAATCCAACAAATTTAGGTATTAGTATAGATTAAAAAACTATGAATTATTGCCAAATACATCAAATATCAGCAGATTTATTATTATTGCAAAAGTTTCCCGGAACCATGAAAATTGTGTAGTTGAAAGTTGGTTAGTATTGTTTCGTCCATTTTCGGGTCTTTTCTTCAATATATTGTTATGTTATGTTAAATTTTAATTTATTTATTTTTTTAATTTATCGAAGATATTTGGCCGTTGATCTATATTTCGTAATTTAGGTGGCATTTTTAACAAACCGTTGCTATTCTAAAAAAAATGCAACCAGTAAAAAATGAAATTTGTGAAAATTACGAACACTATCAAATTTGCTTATAAAATTCTCACAGCACGTAATGGGTTGGTATTAATTATGTTTTTCCTTCTACTTGTAAGATCGGGAATTTGAGTAGCTTAAAAAATTGGTTTAAAATTATAGTTTAAAAACATTGGGTTTAGGTCTGCAAGTTTTCATGGTTAGGAGTTACACACTGAAAGCGATTTGTCTTTTTATAAAATTCTATATTATCACTTATCCGGTGCATTGACCACGCAACTGCAAATTTTTTAAACATGTTTTATTACGTTAAATTGAAACATAATATTTATATAATTCATATAATAATATAAAATAATTTTAATTATTTTGTCTCCTATGAAGTTGTACGATTTGCAGTTACGTCATTGTTCCACCTGATGTCCGAAATATGATAAGTAATCTCCAATCTTGTTTTGCTTTTTCTGCATTTACTTCATATCTAATATCATAGCTAATATTATATACTTTTTTTAAAACATTCGTATATTGATTTTATAACACCTCGTATATATTTTTATTATCATCAGTAGCAGAGATATGGGCCCATGATTCGATAACTGAGTACGTAGCATCATTCTGAGGTAGACTTTGACTTGACAGCTAAGTTTCAAAATAATTAAGGCAGTATTTTCCTGTCGTTGACAGATAATACTTATTATTCGATTTCTGAATTATTCTTTGTCCGGTTCCAATAGTTTTTAATTGAAAATAATAATGATAAATAAATTATAACTGTGTACCTTTTTTTTTGTTCCAACATCTTTAACGAGTATCGAAAAGTTCCTTTGATCGTAATCATATTGCTGAGAAGTTTCCTGGTCCCTGATTCGTCTGAATGGAACAGACATCGCTAACACGTGAAAGCAATCTCCCAAATTGACAGGATAAGATCTGTTATTGAAAGTAGATACGGTATTGGCTGCAAGTGAACATGTTGCTGAAAAATAAATTGTAAAAATATTAGTATGATTATAGTTTTTAAATATCACAAAATATATATCTGGTGTCACAAATTAGTTATCAAATAAAGTTGATTTGTTGATTGTGGGGAGAAATTTGAAATTTTATATTTATATTAAGTTGATGTTGGAGAAGCGCTATAGAGAATTCTCTTTACCAGCCGCTTTTTTTTTAATTTATTTTTTCATTATTTAACTATCTAATTTTAGGATACAAATGTTTTTCTATCTACAAGGGAAAATCATATAAGGGGATACGCTATAAATATTGAATTAAAACTTTTTGAAAATAATAAACTTTTGGGTAATAATGTTCAATGTTTTTATTTTTCTATTTAACATCGATAAAGAATTTAATCCCTTTTATTTAAAAAAAAAAGAAAAATCAAAAATAAGAAAAAAATACTACTTCAATGACGTAGCTCTTCTGCTCATTCTATTTTTACATGTAAATTAGTAATTATAATTTTCCTATGTTGTAACGTTGGTTGATTTGAGAAATCCCTTATATTTCGGGAGCCCGTGCCAAAATAAGGTGATTTATTTCATAATATGGGTTGTCGTTATTAATTCTATTCCAGCGGCAATAGAATAAAAATGGAATAGAAAAGAAACTTTATTCTGAGCCTAAGTTCCCTCAGAATTATAATGATGTACAAATAAAAAAAAATCTGGTGTGTCCAACCACACGACTTTCCTACCTTTTTTCAGAAAAGTTTTTATATCTTTACATATGTTCATGAAGAAAAAAAAAATTGAAACAGATTTATTTTCCTGAAAATCGATCCAAGAAAATATTTGAGTACGATTTACTTGATAAACTAAAGCGAGATAAACCGGCTTAAGGTAGATCAGTGTAAAATTTTCAATACTCTCTAATATTGCTGATCAAAAACTTTTTGCCACAGCTTAGTATTGTCAAACAATAATTTCTGTTGAAAGTAGAGGAAATAGTGAAGCAACAGATTTTCCTACTTTCACTTAGTCATCTTTATTCTCTCATTCTCTGACAGCAAGATATGAACCCGTAATCTTACATTGGAAATTGAATAGCTGTAACTTCGTTAATATTTGTCCAAAATGAACGATTTTTATATAGTTTTGTAGGGAATTTTATTACCTTTCAAAAGTTTTATTATATATTTTACCGTATAATATATACTTAGAGAGTTAGGCCCCATAACAATTTTCTTTTTAACTTTTTTTTCCTGAATTTTCTCAGGAATATAGTCCATATACGAAAATTGAAAAGATAATTATTAGAACATTATAAGAAAATTTCATCGAAATTGTTGGAGCCGTTTTCGAGCTACACTCTATAGAAAAACATGTTTTTCATTTATTGCGCGCAAGCTATTGCGTATGGAGCACCGAATTTCTGGCATAGACATCAGTAATCAAAACCCTACACAATAAAAAAAGAAGCAACGAAATCGGTTCATTAGTTCCCGAGAAAATCTTGGCGCAGACAGACAGACAGACTAGAAATGTGTTTTTCGGACTCAGAGGGATCTGAAACGTCCGGGAATAGATCCGTCGAAAACCACGCATCGGATATTTGACCCGATTGCAATACTTTCCTTACCTAGTATAGGTAGGAAAGTAAATCCCTAAAGTAAAAAATACAAATTTGGCCCAAAACTAACTTAATAAAAATTTTAACAATATATACAGTAATTTAAATAATGAGTAATAAATAATAATGTGTAAACAACTAAATAAAAAAGATTAAAATAAAATAAAATCCTTTCAAGAATATTTATAATTGTAATGTGAGAAACGAAACAAAAAAAATTATTTTTATTATATATGCTGGCAGCCATGTATTTTTTCTCATCAGGCCTGTGGACATGGTCAGTTCATAACGACAAACCTTGAAATAAGTCACATTTTTTACCAAGGGCTTCCGGACTATTAAGTCTAACGAAGTTGCATTAAGATACCATAAGGACTCTAATTACATTAATTGGTAAAACGATAGTTTAAAAAGTATTTTAATTATTTGTAGTTTTAGGTCTCAGAATCATTTTGCCTTGGCGTAGAATGTTTTTCTTTGTTGGCCAAAAATTTGATCTTTGTGACCTTCGTAACTAATGGGTTTTCTGAAATCTTTGAATAATTTAATGAACATAGTAGTTTTTTTTTAATAATAATAATAATAATAATATATAAAATAATTATTGTTTGCTCACGTGTTTGTTCAGAATAAATGATTTTTCGAGCGAAAAGTTGAAGAGGGCTATACCTCGTATGTTGAACAACCAGAGGCTGGGCCCAGTCTTCAACGCCAACGTTTTGGAAGTTGGATTGCAAATAAGGAGTTCCTATCGAAACGTTCACGGTTCTCAAATTGTCGTTGAATTGAACGCCTAGATTTATCTGGCCCTCTGTATTCAGTACATCGATGACTTCCTCATCGTTGTGATCGGATCCATAATGTCGGACCATTCCATAGAACGCCTGTCCAATTTTTTTAATGACTGTAGGTAAGCAATCATAGTTTATTGAAACATTATACGTGTCTAGGTAGTGCGCATTTTCTATTAAACGAGTACATGTCGGGTTCATATGATTTCCCATCGTCATCAGCTGTTTACACAGTCGAGTAGATGGCTGGTTGCGTAGAAATTCTTTTCTTTTGTCGGATTGCAGCATTTCTCCCTGAAAAATATATTCCAAAGGTAATTTAATAAATTATGTATTTTATAGGATGCAGTTGAAATGTTGCTCTGTGGTTACCCTGAATTTTAATTTAGATTGATCTTGTTCGTTGAAACTGATTTCACCTTCGATGACCGTAGTCTTATCGTCATTAAGAGCGTTATCAAAATTAAAAATAGCCAGTTGAGGTTTTTTGATGATGATCTCCGCTGTGGCCTAAAACAATTAATATATTGAATTAATTTTCTGAAAACATCTTATGAATTATTAATTTTATGTGAGATCTGTCGCACAATTTGTCAAGTTAGTCACATATCAGTTAAAGTACATATCTGCCACTTATTATCGCACTGGCTAACCTCGCAATCATCCGACATTTATAACAAAATTATTGTTAACGCTGAGTTAATTTTTTTTTGTTACTGAATTAATTTTGTTTTATTTTCATTTAGTTTTAAAGTTAAAATATTTAACTTTTAAAATAATACTAGTTGGCCCGTGCGAATAATCCTCAGAAAAATTTTTTTAATGAAGAAATTGCAAAACAATATGGAAATAATGATAGATAATAGATCCTATGTATTATGTAAGGAAGGAATTAATATTTTTTTTCTTTGTCGATTACAATATTCCATTTAACATAATAGACCAAAATATTTGTCAAAATTGCTTTGCTAGGTCCTATTTTTAAACACTAAATGGAAAGATAATAAAGTTAATGAATAAAAAATAAACCCTCGATCATGGGATTTTCTAAATTATTAAAAATTAATAAATAAAAACAAAAAATAATAAAGTTAATATATCAGCAAGGAAAAAATGTGGTAGAATACTAAATTCAATATCTTTAAAGAGGAATAAAGTATCAAGTCAATGGGCTGTATCTTTGTTAATAATTTTTACGATTTTTTTTCTTTCTAATTATCATGGTTACAAAAAAGAAAAAATGAAGTTATTCGCAAATAAAGTTTCTTTTCATTCATAACCTTTTTTCAGGAATTTCGGAGGCATATAGCTATTTTTCGCATGTGAAGTAGAATATCTTGAAAATGATTGGTCAATCATTGAATTTGATGAAGAATTGACGAAGTTATGGCGTACCGACAAAAAATCATCATTTAGAAATAATATATAGGATAGAAGAGCTGTGCTGAGACGGTCGTCATGGCAACGACGAATAAATAAATGAAAACTCCTATCAGGTTTTTATTTTTTAACTTTAGTTGTAAAATAAAATTGAAAGCATCTTCCCACCACCCATTAACTCCATATTTATTTTCAGAAGAATCAGAAAGAAACGGACTTGGAAACATAGAATATAACATTTTTAAACAAGTAATTTACAAGGCAACGACTAAAATAAACATGGATACGGCCACTATAAGACCCATCCCAGAATTAAAAATGCTGCGTTGGAAAAAAGACAGACCATTTAGTAATAAATCTATGACTAAAATTGCAAAGACATATCCGCTCGAAATACAAAAATCTTTTTTAAAGCTAACGGAACAATATAAAAATTTCGATTTTATATATACGGATGCATCCAAGGAAGGAGATAACGTAGGATGTGCTCTAGCGAGTAAAGAGAACCACTTACTGTTTAAATTACCTGGAGAATGTTCAGTATTCACAGGAGAGGCCACTGCCATCATGAATGCTTTATATCTTATAAGTGAAACTGAAAAGAACTACTGGGTAGTTGTGACGGATTCATACAGTGTTTTAACTGCCATTGGCAATCCATATCCTAAAAACTCCATAATTAGGGAAATACTCAATATCTGGTGGGATCTAAAAAATAAAGGAATAACAGTTGTATTGGTATGGGTACCAGCTCATTGCGGAATTTGAAATGAAAATGCTGACAATGCAGCCCATTTAGGAAGAAGTGGAGGAGAAGAAGAGGAAGTGACTAGAGTGAAATATATCACTTTAGAAGACTGGGTACACGAAATAAAGAAAAAACAACTGGCAGAGTGGGAAAAAGAGTGGAGGATCAAAGAGTGTAAGCTGAAAGAAGTGAAACCCACTTGCGATAAATGGCTTACTAGCAACAGAAGGTGCCGTCTTAGGATTGGGCACTGCCAGTTCACTCATAGCTTTTTTTTTTTTTTTTGTTCTTCCCTACCTAGGCTATACGGGATTTTCCCGGGCCGGGGGGTGAGGGCGGGGAAATTTAAAATCCCCTCCGGCACCGGGAAGCGAACTCGTACTTTTTATGTCATCTCAAATCTCTGTTATCCGGTTGCCAGGCAACTAGCGGTGCTGTTACACACGCTTTAGTCTATTCGGCCACCCCGCTCCTAGTTCACTCATAGCTATCTTTTAAGAGGCCTAGAAGCTCCTACTTGTGAGAAATGTAACAATACACCGCAAACTGTGAAACACCTTCTAGTAGAATGTCCCCAATTCGAAAGGCACAAAGAAAAAATAGAACTAGGAAAAACACTAAACGAAATACTCCAAGATAATGAAGAAAGAGTCTCGATCGTGTTAAAATTTTTAAAAATTGTAAACTACTATAACAGAGTATAAATCATAGAAAACGCCAATGACCCTTTAGGGTAGATGAGAGAAAAAGGGGGAAAAAATTCAAACAGTTTATTGGAAGAATACTGAAGTTATTAAACCTTTTGAGATTTTCGAAAAAAAATATCAACAACAATGCTTTTTTGTCTGCTAAGCAGTTTGTTAAGGTACAGTTCAAATAATACTATACATAACGACTGGAACATCCCAACAGTAAAATCCTACATCCATGACAAATACACTTCATTTCATTCTTCAACTCTAAATCACATAAATCCATTAGTCCTTTCTATTTCCTGCTCGTTGTTACCTGATGGAAGCATACTAAAAAGAAAATGGCCAAGGGATCTACTCCTACGATAACAACAAAATGAAGCTAATCAAGCAAACTCATAGCTAATGGCTAATATTCAAATTTGTAATGCAGTTAATAAAATATTAAATAAACAAATAAATAATTTTCTTTCACATGTGCAAATTATCTTTTTAAACCATATTATGTGGTGTATTTCAATGTTGTTTTTTTTAGAACATAAATACGGAGGAAAAAAGAAATCCACGGAACTCACCTGAAATTCGTTATTTTCTTCTGATTTCTGAAACGGCTCTCCGCTGTAATAGAGAAGATATCTTGACGAGGTGGATACCGGGCTGTCAGCATGGACCAGTGTAGCCACGTACTTCGCATTTTCTTCGTTTCCTCCGAAAGACACCGACGCAGCGAATAAAGACATTTGTGTCGTGTAGTTACCGCAGTCCTCTGCAGTCGAAGTCTCTTCTGAAGAAGCTCGGTCCTCTATATCGTTTCTTTTCGATGCATCTTTGCGGCTTTTAGATTTCTTCTTCCTGATTTCGCTGACCATTTTACTGATTTCAGGCCCGTGGTCTCTGTAAGTGAAGGATAGTGTGGTTTCATGGGGTGAGCTGTTTTTAGAATCATAACTGAAAACAAGATAGTTATTAGAAATGTCATCATAAAGAATGTTTGAAAAGATATCAGGACCGTGCTGAAGGAAAGCATAGAATGCTTTGCCTGTGTCCTGGAAATTGTTTTCACTTTCAGTTTCGATTCGGAACCTATATCCGGTTTGTTCTTCTCCGAATGTGTTTTGGAACTAAAATAAAAAAGAAACTTGTATTAAATGAATAATTTGGAGAAAACGGCAAATAAAAAAACAAAACAAATATAAATATACCTACGATTCTTTTGGGTCTGATATTGATCATCTGTACGTTGCTCCCTTCCAGATAAGGTATAACGTCACTTATATTTTGATAAGTCGTGTAGACATTGGTCATTGATTGAAATATTTTTTGAAAATCTTTTTGGTCATCCAGTAATTTAAGAGAAGACCGTATATTATACCAATTCACATCTAGATTTCCATTAATAGGAAGATAAAGCTGAGTATTTTTTTCAAGAACAGTGAGATACCTCTTTTGACTATATTGGGCCGTAAAACCCATCTTTCCTTGCTTTTGATTAGACCACCTGTAATAAAAATGTTTTTTTCTAATCAATGAACGTGATAAAGGATCGTTATTTTTATAAGAGTCAAGAGAAGAAAATATATATATATTTATGTTTATATGTAAATTGTTTTGAAATTTTGGATTATATTTTGTCACAGAGCTTTTAAGAGCAAGTTCATAGAAATTTCTTTCTGTTGGGTATCGTATATATTTTAATTTAAAATAATGATACTGTATTTATTCTGAGACGAGTCCCTTTAGAATACAGAGAGACATGAATATGGGCTCAGGAGCCTCAGAGATACATAAATAAAGATACAGAGTAATTAAACAGTCATAGTAATAAAATTAAAAATTATAAGTTACTTTCTAATTTTGATCAGTTAATAATTAAAAATTAAGTAAAAAGGATGAAGTAAAAATAATGAAGAACGAGCTAATAATTTATATACATATTTACATTAGTATCTATTTACAATTTATGGGGACTGGATGGATAAGAAATGATTGAACAGACCGGATTTAAAGGTAGGAAGGGTATTAGAGTTCCAAAGGGATGAGGAACGGATAATGAACGATCTGTCGAAAGCAGCGGTTCGGTGGGCCCTTATGTATAAATCGGAAGACCGGGAACTAGTATTACGAGAACGAACAGAGGATTTGAATTGAAGGAGCTCGGAGATGTATGAAGGACGGTGTAATGTAAAATAGTGTTCCCAACTTCAAAATTTTCATCCAACAAATATTTATTAGATTTTTCTCTCGCATTAACAGCTCTGAATAGATGTATTAAGTTTAAATTGTACTTTATTTGCTTTTATAAGTGCATGTTTATAAAATAGTTCTAAAATAAAATAAAATAAAATGCATGGTAGCAGTACATGACACGTCATATGTCTCAGGCCACACGTCCAGTCCTCACCGTATCTTCCAGACGCAGTTATTTAAAGTTTTTAGCTAAATATAAAGCCTTGTTTTTTTTATTTACAAAGTACACTGTCAAATTTATATAAATTATTTATTACTTGAATTATATTACAGCTCAAATTGACTTGATATTTTTTTTTTCTTCATTCAAGTAGCCGATTTTCACATGTAAATAAATATTTTTTAATTTTGATCGTTCATGATCGTTTGCAATTTATACTCGAAATAACCTTTAGTTTTAAAATGATTAATTTAAAGCAGTTAAATGGAATAATAAGAAATAGGGAACTCACACGAATTTCAGTTTTCCATTTATTCCTCCACTGATTGGTGCATTATTGTTTGTCGTATATTCTTGTGTTTGATGAAGGTACCCGTTACCATCAAAGGATAGATGTAAATATGTGGGAACGCTGATGGAATAAGTAAACTGCAACCCGGTGGCGAGTGGGAATCCCATCTCTACTGAATAATGGTTGTAGAATTTAGATTCTTGGTAATCGATTCCCTTTTGAATGTTTCGGTTGATTTCTCTGAAAGCTGAGAATTGAATAATAATTTTATTTATTCAAATAATAATATTTAGTACACTTAGTTTTTTATTTCGTATAATATAATTCGTATATACATGAATGTATTGAATGATGATTAATGATTAAAAAAAATTGCAGAAGTTGGTTGGAAGGCACTGCTCATAATGAAAAAAAAAAGAAATAGATATAAATGATTACACAAGGATTTATTATTTCTAAACAATTATACATCTAAAGCAACTTTACCTTCCTGCTAACATAAATAAAAGGTGATTCCTATTATTGGCCTAAACATTTTTTTTTCGTCATTAGTAATTTGCTAAAAAAATAGCGTTGCAATTTCAACAAAAAAGTGTATAATTTAAGAGACGGATGTTCAGTCAAAATAAAATAGTAAAAATAAATAGTTTTATTCTTTTTTTGTCTGTCTATGCTTGCTAAGGTCTGAACTTTGCGCCGGAACGTCTTCGAATGTAAAAATTAAATACAATTATTTATTTTTACTATTTCATTTTAACTGATCATCCCAACCATTCTTGTCTTCAATTATTCACTACAGTCAACCATCAACCCACAAAAAAGTGTGAATTTTTTGAGTTATTCGGAAATCTAATTTTACCACCCCTCGTGACTTAGTTTCTAGCTTCTTTTCATTGAAATATGTTATATAGACAAATTTAAAGGACTTGGAGAAGAAGACTTTATCCACGTTTCATTGAAATCGGTACATTCGTTTAGGCTCTACAGTCTATACCAACACATGTTTTTCGGCCGTTATCTTGAAAGTAAAGTGCGGATAGTAATGTCGATTTAGGATGATCATCCTCGAGTGACCTCTGACTTTAAATCCAAATTTGAAAAAAAAAATCGGTCTAGTTTCGGAGAAAATGTACGGACATGTGCGTATTCTGAAACGTGAAATCTCAAATTTCAAAGAGGGTTAATTTTTTTAATTTTTCGGACGATTAAAATGGTTCATGATTAACAATAATAAACCAGAATCTCAGAAATAAGAAAACTTAGTTTCAAGAATACCGATATAATGGACTTTATTAGTGTTGCCCAAAATCGGTCTTGGTCTTGCACTTTGCCAGGTTCAGTTAGCGAATCATGAATGATAATATCGTGTTCCCAGCATTATCCTAGGGTAACCAGTGCGTTTCGTTCTAAATTTCAAAAAAATATACACTAAAAAAAAAAAGAGAAGTAGAAAATTTCATAAAAATAATTTAGTATTTTTATGCATTGCCTTATATTTTGCAATAATTCGTTGCTATTACATTTAATTTTCACTGAGTGTTATTTTGTTTTTACTCTTATTAAAGTCTGTAACTGAGGCCTTGAAGTTGCGATACATTAAAATAAATACATTTTTATTTTCGGATCTGACCTAACTCAGTTTCTGCCCTCATCAACCGACTTGTACAATTTTTCCTTGGGACGACAATATCTCCACTATTACTAATAAACTTTACATCTTACTCTCAGGTAGTTGTTCGACCGTGTTCCTGTCAAAGGGGAAGAATCTCTCCCCTCCCAACACTGTCCCGAAGACGTTTCCTTCAACTTGCTTCGGTTCATTACTCCGCCAGTTTAACATGTCGCTGATGTATTGGAAAGTATATCCAGTGCTGTTTGTATCATTAGCTTTGGCATCATCTCTCTGTTGGACTTGAGGATCGTTTTCCAGTTCCAACCGTTTTAATAAAAGATTGAGGATTTGCTCGGCACCAGATGTCATATAAGAAGCCTTTAAAAAAATAAAAAATAAATAAATACATAAATCAGAGTAACTAATTAACAGGTTAAACTAATTACATTATTTAGGCAAAAGATTTAAAAAAAGAACCTTGTAGGCGGAGGTCTGGCCGAGAAATTACAGTAAACGAGGGAAAAGCTATTCCCATTTGATAACTTTCCAATTTGAAAGCTGCCTTGTCAAATAGTCACCAACTCAAATTTTTGAAAGGGAATTTTATTTATTTTAGATTTTTTTTCGCTTACTGCCCTATAGTATCCTTTAACAATACGTAAAACTTATCTCTGTGGAACAAATCCGATACCTAAGACTCCATTTAGACAAACGACTCACTTGAAATCCTCATAGCAGACTGAAACGACAAGAAACCGCTCGATGTGTTTCGACTACTCCCGTTCTTATCAGACAAACGCTATAATCCAATTATTTACAAATGACTCGTATATATAATAAGACCTATTTGGACTTACGGAATGGACTTTTGGGATTCTACTAAACCATCAGATTCCTCTCGTATCCAATCCTTACAGTCCAAAATCCTTCGTAAAATCTTCAATGTTCCTTACTTTAAAATTACTCAATGCTACTATGTCGCAAATAAGATCATCCACAACGATCATAATGTATCATATTTTTTCCGATTTGGCTCAATCAGGATACCTATCCTTCCATAATAAAGTTCTGATAATCCTTCGAGGCGTCTGAAAAGAAGATGGGCTCGGGACCTTCTAATATAGAACTGTAATTGGATAGTTTATCTTCATGTTGTACATGTCATGTTACCAATTTTAAATTTACTTGTTGTATTTTTCATGTAATATAGTTTTAAATTTCAATAAATAGTTATGTTTAAAAAAATATTTTTTTCAATATATGTATATGTATATATATGTCAGTATATGTATCTACTGCGCAATTTGATATACATTACTAGAAAAAAACTAAACTTGAAAAATAGTTATAGATTTCAATACACATTGATCACAATCCGTCCCGGCAATCTGCGATTCCTTTGTCTGTAAGATAACACGACGTAATTATTGATTTTTCTACTTAACATTGTGATAATCTCTTATCCTTCCCAGGTATCCTATATAAGGGCCTTTTTCCAAAGACACATCTTGTCATGCAGCAACACTCATTGTTTGTCATTCAGGTTAGGACATCTTAATTTTGATTTGCTTTAACCAATCTATGCTATCATTCTTCTGTCAAGTCCTTGTCGTCTCAACTTTTCCAATGAGTGAACAAACACAAATCCTCTCTCTCTAAGCCACTTACCGTTTCTCTTAATCATTTCATGTACTAAGCTTTCCAAAAATTCTATAAAAACAATTCCAAGTCTGGAACTCACTCCTGTACTATTAGTTTAGGTCCCCCAACTTAGTTTGTAAAACGTATCTTTCATTGTCAACGTAACACTTTATTTTTCATAAATGATAATAATAAAAGGCATATGGAACCCGCAGGTTTCACAAAAATTTTACATGCCCATTTAATTCGTTGCGATATCATCACCTGAATTATATTAACCCTATACAGTTCACGCAATTAGGCGTTGTGTAACAGTCCATAAAAAACCATAGGTAGGATAATGGTTTTATAGATTCTAGTTTTTAAGTACCGGGAATGAAGGCGCGAGCTAAGTAATTATTTTTTTTTTTTAATGAAAATAAATCTTAGAGTCTTTACTGTTGTATGAGTTCGTCAGTTTGTATTACTACAGATTGTAGCACTCTGTGATAGTGCAAGTGGAATAGATAGAAAGTAACAGAACTATGTCATTAAATCGCATCTGACAGCGATATCGTATCGCCGGGACATTTGACGTTCTCTCTGTACGAGCCTTAATAATAAAACTTTCGCTAGAAATTGTTTTTTAAAAAACAGACAAACCTTTAAAAAATCTGATTAAATAGCAATACTAACAATTAACAACCGAACCGTCACAAGATCAAGACAAAAGATTCTCAATGGACGTTAGTCACAGTAACTAAACTGGTTGAAATTGATTATTACTGTACACCTAAAAATATTTTTTTCATTTGTCGCTTTTGGTGTGTTTGCAGACTACATTTTGTTCCTATAAAATTAGCGCATAAACACTAAAAAGTTCATCCTTAAGTTGTTTATCTACAATAACTTACCGTAAATTGTTCCGGAAAATATCCACCGATGTTATAATTTTGGTTAAAAAGGATAGTATCTGGATATATTCCATCGGTGCCTTGGATAGAACTACCGTATGCTGTATAATGAACATTTTCTACTTCTTTGATGGGGTGCGAATAAATTAAGTGCTTCGAATATCGAGCTCCGTAATCTTCCGGCGTGAGGAAACTCATCGCTGATCGTGCGTTGTTGACTCTGTAACAAATTAATTACTGTGTAAAGTATTAAAATTCTTATCTGTATCTGTTGTATTAAAAAAAAGAAATAATTACAAGGTTGGGTCGGCGATGTAATCGCTGTTCGCAGCAGTCTCAATAGCAGATTTGACAGCGGCATTCACTTGCTTACTTTGATCGTAATTCGTATGTTCGGCCAAGCGCTGAAGAAGATGCGCGGATGGATTAGTTTTCATAATAAGCATCACCGCTGCAATCCTCAGTTCGGGAACATCGAATTGGTTTTTATATATACTGTAGAGAACCGATCTGGCTGTTTTCGGATGCACTTTTACAAAATCGCATAGACTGACTACCATTAAAAGGCGTTGGAATTTCGAAATCGCGCGCTTCCCTTCTAAGTAAGGTTCAAATATACGTAATATCTTGGGATGTGCTGTTTTACCTAAGGCACGGGTGTATACTTGAATTTTAGTGGAATCTTCTTCCTTGATGGCTTTTTCTAGTTGGCTCTGTAAATAGGGTATGTACTGTTCTACAACTACAGCTCGGTGGTTATGGGATTGGGCTCCTGAAAGATGGATGGGATAGCGATGGTGAGAACTCTGGCGGTTTACTTGGGCTCTTCTGACGAGATCAGAAAATGATAGGATTGCGGTATCGTTAAGGAATTTCTGGTTACGTACTGTCTTACATTTTACCAGTTCCTAAAAAAGTAAAATTACTATAAGTGCCATGTGAGTAGCATTAAGGTCATTTTATGTCAATCCAACACAAGATCTGTACCTCACCATTTCAGATATTTTTGAAAATATCTTTAGTCTCTCCAGAGACATAAAAAGTACAGACAATTTAACTCGTTTTTAAACTAGACAGTTGTAAATAACTCAAAATAATGGACAAAAAAACAGAAAATAACAAGTTTACAATTTGCCATAGAATCTTTCATAATTAACAGTCCGTGGTATAGACCCCTTTTTATGAAATTATTAACATCCGCCTGGAACTTTTGAAACTAGAAATATTTGATTTACGAAAATTCTCATAATTGGGGCGTTTTCAATTTGAAGGTCTACAAACTTTGTCTATTTATTGACAAAAAAGGTGGCCTACACAAATCTTGGACCGTTTGTCCTACATAACCTCGTTATTGTGACAGTTCGGTAACGTATGTCACGCCAAACGGCTCAATATTTTTTAAGGCCACCTTTTTTTTTCGAATTATCTTAAGATTAAAGTATAAAACAAATGGGGTTTTTACTACCTAATTAAGTAGACAAAGTTTGTCGACCTCAAGGTTGAAAAAGCCGAAAATTCCGAGATTAATTTTCGTAAATTAAATATTTGTAAGTTACGATGAGATGAAGATATTTACGAATTTTCAGGCGGATGTTAATAATTTCATAAAAAGGGGTCTGGACCACGGACTATTAGCTACAGAAATCAATGTTATTTCGAATTCTCTTTCCTATGAAATGCAACACTGAATAGGTTAATATAAGATTTTTTTCAAAATTTAATTTAAAGTTTCTCTGAAAGTATATATTTTAAAATTTTCAATTCTTTTTTATGAATAGATATTGTTTTAGTAAATCATAGCGAAAAATATAAATATAGGAAGACAGAGGCATCATTGGTAAAAAAATTGAAGACTATTAGACATACTTACATGTTCCTGAAAGCAAACATGGAACCAGAATAAGGCTTCCTTTTGGTAAATACAAAGTTACTTGCATCGTATCATGTAATGAGCTATTATCAGGTAACATGACCTCTTTATCTAGTACGTGGCCTGTCAAAGTCAACGAATTATTGAATATTCGCTTTTAACAATCAAGCCATTGTCATTCCACACAATATTATCTATACATAGAATGAAGTAGAAAATTTCAAAATAAGTGCTTTTAGAGAAAATTGAAATTTTAAATTATATTTTGAAGAAAAAAATCATATATTAACCTATTAAATGTCGTATTACATACGAAAGAGAAATTAAAATGGTGTAAAATGGCATTGATTTCAGACCTCTAGTTAAATAATATGAGGCTCTACGGCGGTTTTTAAACTTTTTTTTTTTGACCATTTAAGGGTTGTTTACATCTGACTAATTTAATTTCATATTACATCAGTAAAATTTCATATTTTTTCTAGCCTCTACAAATAGTACAACTGCATAATTTGAAGAATATCAGAGATAGTGAAGTACAGACCTTATTTTGAATAAGTATGAAATGACCAGTGCACACTAAGTTCTTTTAAATGAATAGAATGAGACTCACGAAAAATTTATTCATATATTCGGTGGTAGGGTAGCGGGCTGCTGTAGGTAAAACAGCGAGGAGTTGAGCCGCTTCATTTCCTTGGACTTTTCCAGATTCAATCCAGGCAGCCAATGTGACGAGAGCTGGTCCAGTCCCTGCCTGAGCCACTGCATCTCGATAAGCTTTCCTATGTAATAAGTAATTCTATAAATAAATAAAATAAGTAATCCTATATAATAAGTTCCTATGTAATAAGTAAATAAAAATTATATCGATTACGTCTATGGTACCTTTTAATATGGAATAAAGTTCAATTTCATCGATTTCGAGTCGTCATAAACCATATTTTTGCACTTTTTTTGTGGAGAGTGAATTAATTGAGCCGTCAGATCTTCGATGTGTAAACGCTAGGATAAAGTCGGCTAGAGTCGACTGAATTGAAGTGTTTCTGCGCACATGGATTAAATATCTCAAAAACGATAACTTGGTCCTGCATATTGTTAGCAAGAGGAGTGTCCACCATTTCATCCTCTTTGTAATGAGCTACTGTTCAATATTGTATTTTAACGCAACGTTATGTTAGAGAGGCGAAAAAAATATTGTCCAAAACCAAATTATAACGTGTTTTATTGAAGATAAGGATGAAAATATATCAGAAACTAAAAAATCAGACCTGCATACTGTAAGCAAGGGAATTGTTCGGCATTTTATACTCTCTGCAATGGGCTCTTATCCAAGATTGTATCTTAACGCGACGCCGTGTTAGTGAGACGAAAAGGAAACAATAGTATCGAAAACCAAATGATAACGAGTTTTATGGAAGATATGAATAAAGTATCACAGAAACTAAAAATCGGATCTGTTTATCTGTAAGCAAGAGAAATGTTTAGCATTTCATCCTCTTTATAATGAGTTACTATTTATAATTTATAATTTATATTTCGTATTATTAATCTCGCGTTGTTGATGTTTTCAATTCTGTCGTGTGGTCTAAAGCACATACCAAAGATATTTTTAATTTTCACAACATTGAAATATTAATGACGAGGGAGATGTATCGAAGGGGATGTATATTGTTTGGAAAGAGTGCATGATTCTTGGATCTATTATCACATAAGATAATAATATAAGACAAGGAATAAAGGTAAGGATAGCAATTGGTAACTATTTATGGTGCTATTTATTGGTTCTTGACAAGAATCTTACGAAATCTAGATATACCAAAAGTTCTCAAAATCATAATAAAAAAGACACGGGCGGATCTACGGGGGGGGGGGGGGGAGGGGAGAGCTTTCGGGCTGAAGCCTCCCCTAAATGGCAAAATATAACCATGTTTTATGGAAAAAAAAATTTAAAATTATCACTTAAAGTATTATTGTTCGTGTAACTACATATAAAAGGATTTAAGGAATCACTTAAACACCGTTTCATATAGATAGTTTCTTTCTTTTTTTCCAAAGTAATTATCGTCATTTTTATGAAAAAAAAAAACCTTTCGGGCTGAAGCCTTTGTAGTGATACAAGAGGAGCCTGCAACCAGTTGGCATTGAACATGCGAGAAGGAAGAATCCTTCGCAAAATTCGTTTATCGACGCATTTAAAAGAGCAGAAGAAGCTATGTGATGTCCCAGATATTATATCCAGCAGGCAAAGGAAAAGGATAGGGTGGCTAGATCACGAGCGAATACTGGAACATTTCCCTACAATGGTAATAGTAGTATACACCGGGGTGAAAGGTGACAAAGGGTCAGACTTCGTTGACTGGATGATGTCGAAAACGATTTTTGGATTCAGGATATTTCGGAGAGAAATGGACGACCGAAGACAGGTCCATGTGGAGAAAGGCAGTAGAGAACTCCAAGGTTCTGCAAGGACCATAGCGCTATCGGATGACAATATATTAAGTTTGTGGTAAAGGAAAGTATTGCGATTATGAAAAATTTCGGATCCGATATTTCAACGCTAATGGAATCCCTATGGTCTCCTGAGTTCCAAATAACCTATTTTTGCAAAATGGTGTGTGTGAAGACCACCAATATTTATCTTGATTACAATGGAATCAGTAACATGGAGAATTACATTAAAATGAAATCAGATTCAAAATAAGTAAACTGATTGGAGAATAGATGGTATAATTTATCTCTACTGTAGAAAGATAATATTTTTGATGGACGAATCACAGGGGCTCAAACTTCTTCAGCGTGCCAATAAAATACTGCGAAAAAAATATATACGAAACTTTTATATATAAAGTTTGCTTATAACAGATTTACAAACATTTCATTTGAACTACCATTTTTTAGTTATTCAATCATTCACAAAAGACGGCATGATTGTTTCATTTTAATACAGTTGTCATAGTAAGCGTGGTACATGAGATTTAGTATCATACTGCATATTGCTAAACAAGTTTTTAAACTATTTTTAAATTATTTGGTTTTGAGGCCTTTACTATTTCTAAGCGCACTGGATTAGTATAAACTAACATTCTCTCCTGATTATGTTAAAGTTAGTACTCCATGGTAAGCACAAGGATATTACACATCCTCCTTTGTTTTGAATTGTAGGATTGTTTTTTTTGAAAATCAAATAATGACTATAATTTAAATTTTTCTCTAATTCCTTGACACTTAAAATTTCCGCTTCTTAATTACCTGTCCTCAAAAACTGAGGCTGTAAATCAAAGCCTCTGTGTGTGTAAAATGCGTGAGAATGAAAGAGATAGAAGGAACTTACCATGATCCACAATGTTGGCCTCCTTCTGTTTTTCTCTCTGGTTGATAAAGTTTTTCACTGGCTTTCAAGAGTTGTTCTGTACTTGCAGACATCACTAATCGCGTCAAGATAGAAAACCGGCTCAAGACATTATTGTTGGGTATCTCGTTGGGGTCATCGAGCAAATTCCCGATCTGCTTGGAGACTTTTTCAATTTTCTTCAATATCTGTTCCTTCTCATGCTTTTGGGGGCTCAGCGTGTTGTCAGGAAGGAATTCAATATTTGGAGCTTCATTTAAATCTGGTTGTGGGTCTACGGTTTCTTCGCTGGATCCTATCGATGAATCGCTTGAGGTAGAAGAACTGTGTGAAGAGCGGTCTGAGTCTTCCTTCATGACACTTTGCATATTCTCCGTGGATCTGATTTTTCTCTTGTTTCCTTTTTTTATAAACACTTCAACTTGTTCTTCTTCACTCTTCGAATTGCTGTTTGAAGATTCCTCGGAGGACATGGAAGAGGATGATTCCTTAGAAGACGATTCCTTCACTTCAACATCGTCCTGGTTGGTTCCATGTTGGTATTCGTAAACCAAACTTTCTACTGTTTTCGGATTGCTGATTAATGGAGAAGAACTATTCGATGTTTTGACTTTTTCTAGAGAGAGTTTTATCGAACTGACAACAATGCCCTTTTGATTATTGTAAATGTGTGGGGCCACCAAGACGATTTCAGTAGTTTCTGCTGACTGGATTGTGAATCGGCTGTGGTTACCCGAATATATTATTGTACTCTGTGATGATCTCTGTAAAAGAAATTTTATTTTTTTATTAGAATGTATTTAATTTTAATTTTTCATATAAGTCTTTTATATACAAAGTGAATCTTATTCAAAATTGACAGATTTTCAGGAAACGCGAAAAAGAATATTTTCTATTTCAATTGTAGTATTATTACAAATATTTTTTAAAAAATTAAATAAGAAATACTTTATTTGTAGTACATATTTCCGAAAATTACTGATTAATTTAATAGTTATTAAAAAACATTAAAATTTAAATAGGCGGCATTTGGCAAGAATTAAACTTCTCTACTCAATTTGGGACATAGGTTGATGGGTTTCGATTCGGAGAGAAATAGTGTATGGTTCTGGAAGGCAAAAGTTATAAAAATTATACTATTAAAAAATATTTTTATGATTTTTTTAAAGAATACTTAAAAAAAGCAAGTTTTGTAACATTTTTTGAAACTAAATGCCGGTTTTTATAATAAACTTAACTTTTTATAATAAACGTAACATTACTTTTTTACTTTCACTTACCTATATGTAATATATACATATATAATATATGGTAAGCGAAATTATTGCGATCGTGAAAATTTTCGAATCTGAGTTTTCGACGGAAACGTTTCGAGGTCCCATGAGTCCAAATAACCATGCTCCGCAAAATGGTCTGAGTGTGTGTATGTTTTTATGTGTATGTGTGTATTAGTCTGGCTCAAAAACTTTTGAAAGAATTTGATAGTTGAAAAATGGAGAGAAAAGAGAAAATGTTTATTTATATCGAAAATGTATTTCCGGAACCACCAGTCAGAAGGTATACGTATAATATATCGTTGGCAAGTAGAGAATTTTAGAAAAAACAATATCTAATATAGAAAGTCGTGGAAAGTAATGGAGAGTGACGAAAAATTAGCATTAATACTCTGTGGAAACTAATGTTATTTAACGAAAATCGCATGTTTTCAAACAAATTAAATGAAATTTGCTAACTAGATGTAAACGTTTTTAAGTTTGAAAAAAATATTTAAAATCAATCAATCTAATCAAGGCGATGGTACTGTTTAAAAACCTATTTCATAGTACTTGTGTGAAAGAAGAAGTGAAATATAAAATCATTTCATGGATGTATAAAATATATGTTTATAATCTTAAATGTATTTACTGTAGTTTAATAATTCTAGATCTGATATTATGTTTAAATAATTAGGTATCAACTACAATAAACGTCTGTTTATTCCGAAAAATCGTCATGTGACCTATTAGAAAATTAAATTAGTGAATAATAATAATAATATAAGGCTTAGCGAACCCGAAGGTTCGATGCCGACACCACCAATCGCTTATTACACACCTCTCTCCACCGTTCCCCACCCAAACCCAGTCCCTTCAGATCGGCTTTAATGCAATCCTCCCACCTTCGCTTCGGTCTACCCCTCGGACGTTTACCATTTGGCACAGCAAATATTAACCTTTTAGGAATTCTCTCGTTACTAAGCCCAACAACTTTACAAGCCCATTTGACTAGCCGCGATGAAATTACCTCAATTATATTACCCGGATACAGTTCACGCAATTCGGCGTTGTGCAACCGTCTGAACTCTCCGGTTAACTCATCCTTCTTCGGTATTCTACGCAATACTTTAAAATTAGTGAATAATTTGATGAATTTTGTGAAATCCAAGCATATATATATATATATATATAATCTCAGAGATTGGAGATCCGTGTTTTACAAAAACAGATGGAGTACTCAGGCTGTTATTGTCTACTTTTGTATAATTAAAAGGATTTTTTTATTTTAGTGGTCTGAATGATTTGTTAGCTTTAAGCTTTAAGATATATCTCCCTTAAAAGTGCACTTCAAATCGCTTAACATTATCAGAAAATAATTTCTATTCAAATTAGAGAGATAAGTGAAAGTTGTATGTTGCGCGCTCCAGAGTTTTTCATTAATTGTTGAGACTTACTTGCAAAACATTCACTTTGATGCGCTTTTATTTCGCTTTAGGATTTTCGACTTTATTTTAACATTATTGTCTACTCGACATTCACGTAGAGAATTTTTAACCAAAGAAACAAGTAATCGGATGGGGCAGGGTTTGGGGAGTAGGGAGGATGAGGTAGTCCCAATCAAACAGTAAGAGTTTCTGTCTTACGGCCAACGAAACATGCGGAATTGGTCCGTCGGTAAATTTGCCGTTAAGTTAAATTTGTTAATAATGATTAGGATTCACTTTAGCAATAAACGAATATATAATAATTAATATATATTTAATTTTGTCTTCTTGCTCCTATTTATTAATTCAATTTTTAACAGAAACGTTTAATATTTACGGTGGATTGGTTAACTTACAGTAAGAAAATTTCCCATAGTATTGGTCCCTTCACTCCAACCTTCTTGTCCACTCATTCCAAAACGATAGACAACATGTTGGTCGCTGTTGGAAAAGTTTCTTGTCTTTACAATTCTATAATGCCCTCCTTCTCCTTTAAGATGTTCTAAAGGTACCAGTTCTGGCTTGCTTTGTAAAATATATTCAGGTATTACTGATACGTCATAAATTGTTTCATATTTTCCATTTATGCATTCCTAAGAAAACATTAATTTATTTATCCTGTGACTCCTTAAATCTGAAATATAGCTAATGGTTTGATAGTACTTACTTCCATTGTTGAAAAAATTGCGGAGTCTTGATTGTCTTCAGGAACATTGTTGAGTTTGGAATACTTAAGATTTTTTCCTTTAATATCAACTTGAAGTTGGCTAGCGATTCCTTTAAGTAAGTTTTGTTCCCAGTTTGGTATATCCTTGTCGACGACCATCTTTTGGACCTGGAATTATATTATTGTTTTAAATTTAAAAGATACTAATGATAGTTCGAAAACGGGATGGCCATTGGCGCAAGGTGATAATATCCTATTGGTTGACGCCTTTATAAAAAAAACAACAAAAAAAAAACAGGAAGGAAATGGGTAAAACGTATTATGCCTCTTATTTATTTTCATTATAATCTGTACCACTACAACCCATGAAGGATGTTGGGTTCAGTACTATTTAGGGAAAGTACTGTTTCTTAGTCAATGGTTATACAAGGTGATTTGAAGGAGATCACGCTCCACCGCCAGGTTTTCCCTCTTAACTAATTATTTAATTTAGGGTACCAACTTTATATAAGCTGGGTGTGCACCGGGAAGGTCTTCTGATTTTTAGGATCGCCCCTCGTCAGATGAAACAGAATAAATAATTTTTCTGTCATGAGCCGAGATTCGAACCTGGGACTGGAGTATTGGAAGTTCAGCGATTTATTTTCATTATTTATTTATTTTCTAGTAGGTCCGTGCGAAAATTCGCAAAGTGATCAAATAATAAATAATTAAGAAAATAAAGCAATACAACGTAACATAAGATAAGTCAATTTCTACTTTCTCGCTAGATATAATCGAAAAAGGAAACAAAAGTTAATTCAAAACTTCATTAATGTTTGGTCTCCACGCCCAGTGATATAATAAAAGGCCTCTGGCCACAGATGCAAAGAACGCATACAGCGTGCAGAGCCCTCTTACCTTAAAATGCCGTTGGGCAATAAAAGGAAATTGAAAAATTTATGTATATATAACATTTATATATATATTGTATTTGTAATCAAGAAATTCCTGGGCGGCAGGCACGATTATTTTTTCTTCCTCTTGTAGGGAATTTAGTAATATTTTTAATCATGGGTATAACCAAGGGAAAAGTATGTAATTTTCGAGTTATTCGCAAATAATAAAGTTTATTTTCTTTCATAACTTTTTTGCCTGAATTTTTGGGGTGATTGGACTATTTTGCCAGCTTGAAGAAGAAGGAAACCTTCAAAATTGGTAGAAAAATCTTGGGATTTGGTAAAGAATTAACGATGATGTGGCTTACCGACAAAAACACCATCGGTAAATAATATAAACTCCTCTTCTCACGATTATAGGGGCCTCAAGTCAACGAAATGAGACATGCATTCAATGACAGTACTATAATTAACGTAAGATATATAAGAGAGATAACTTACTCGAAAATAGTACGTTTTGGTGCTTACAACGTACGTGGGGGGTCTTGCTGTACGCATCAAAATCTTCAAGGTCCAATTTGATCCGTATCGATCTAGAAACCTACCACCGTTCCAGTATTGAAGCCTAGCAAAATTTTTGTATCGACTTTATTTATTTTAGAAAGAAAAACAAAAGCGCAGAGTACGATTCGCTAACCTCCCTTGAAATTCTGAATCCAACGGTGTCCCATTCATGGTATTTGAGCATGGCAGGAGCTTATATTTGGTAAAAAGCCAATTTCGGGCCTTACTGTAATAATATATGTGGGAATTATTTACTTATTTATTTTATTAATTAAAAAATATATATACATACCGTTCCATTGCTGAGGTATAGTTGAAACGGTTTATTTTTAGCTGGGAGACTTATATAGTTGACATCTGATTCTGGAATGTTAGAACCCCAGCCCTCAGGTAACATCTGATTAACGTCAGCGTGTTCGGCATCTTGGACCTGCAATTATTAAGATGTAGTAAGATATCTCACGTTTCTGTCAGGAATCATAATTAATATTTTTGCAACGTAGAAATAACCTGAAGGGTGATTTGGTTTGCCGAATCAACGAAGACCCGCAGTTTTCCTCGTATTATAGATCCTGTGAATTGGTTCGGAGCTTGGTGCTGGCCTGTGAGAGTCCTCGCTTCAAGATTATACTTGTATTGAAGACCCACTTTCCAGCCTCGAGAAGAGAATAGTAATTATTAAGTTGAATAATTCATTTTATTAAAAAATAAAATAAATAATCAAATATTTTGGAGTATTTACCATTGTCCGCTGCGGTTAGTCCCACTGCAAAATATATATTAATTAATTCAATTTTTTTTAAATATATAAAAATACACCAACATATTAAAAAAGGCAAAAGCAAAACAGTTCAGTCCCTTTTTCTCCTGTGTTTCTCAACTAATTTCCTTTTTTTCGTTTAGTAGATATTGACGAGCTTCTATTTTATCAATAAAAAACGCTTCAAATTATTACCCAGTGGTTTGTTATTTACAAATAGTGTTATAATCTTATAATCTAATAATAGTGTTATAGATCACTTATAATCTTACAATCCATAATCATTTATAGGCATCCATAATCACACATGATCGTTTCATTTGACTGAATGACTAACTCCAATTTCAACATTCTTTATTATTGATTTTAGTGATGTTTCTAGTGAGAAATTTACACCTTTATTTACAGTTCTATATTTCAATCACCTAATCTGTAATCAACTTACTCACTATCTGTATAGATATAACTTCTCCAACAAGAAATATAACCTAAATCATTTTACTGAAAAATTTTGAAATTAGAGATGGTCATTCTGTCATCTGAAAGGTTCACATAGCTCAGAGACTGAAGTTATGTGGTTTACGGAAACAGATGGAGTAACTAGATTTTTATTGTCTACTGTAGATATAATAAATAGAGTTTTAGTTATTTTAATGGTTTGTTATCTTTAAGCTTTAGGTCCGTTTAAAATGCACTTCAAAATTTTTATAACAGCCCATCATTGCCAGAAATAATTTAATTTCTATTCAAAGTGAAAGTTGTGTGTTGAGTGGATCAGATTTTTTTAAGCACATATGAATATGCGAATAAATATAAATATGAATAGAAAAAAAAAAAAGTTGGAGACATGAAAATTCATTTATGTTTTTCTCAAATGTTCAGTAATGATTATGGTCTAATTTCGTAATTTAGCAATAATAATTGTAATTATTTTGACTCTCCTATAAAAGCGTATGATTTGCTGTTACGTCATTGTTCTACCGGATGTAATAAAATTATTTTACATTTTACACGAACAATAAACTTATATATTGACCCATGCCCTTTGATTTAGTATATCAAATACGTGGTAATGGATGTTATAAAACACTGATTATTTATTTTTTTATTCTAAATTTTCCAAATGTAAGCAGTAATTTACCTAAGGAGTAGAGAAGGACCGATGCCCACATGCTGTATCAGCTGAGACTGATTGCAAAACATATTCCATTATTTTTAACCAGTTCGTTTGGCGTTTTAGTCAGCACTTTCAATATCTAAGATTTGTTTGACTAATGTTTTGCATCCTACTGATTAGAACCTCATGCTCCGTATAGATAATATTTTTTTATTTAAGTTTTTTTTTCTCTTTTTATATGCACTCTAAACTATGCAATTCCTTGGTATTATGGATAAAAAGCTTCAAATGGAATACTGTTATAATTATTTTGAGTTTTAATCAATTTTTTTTATGATAATAATAATCAGTAAAAGGAATAAAAATATAAAAAAGAATATCGTCATAACTTCTGATTCGGATGGTTAGTTGTAATAAAAATAGAAAAATAATCTTTATTCTGGGACTAGGTCACTTTAGAATAATAGTATTGTTCATATAAATTAACCATAAATCTGGCCAAAAGACTTATTACAATGATTAATGACAAAATACTAGTAATAAATTAAGTATTAATTAAGCTCTTTGGATAAATTTACGAGAACAGTTGGGTAATAGGGGTTCAGTACTACAATATTGGAGCTAAAACAATAGCATAATAATCACTAAATGAAATTATTAAAAAAAATAATAATAACTGTTAATATGTAAAGAAAGAAATTGTAAAAAAAAAAAAAAAAAATATATACATATGTTCCCTAAGATATGTAGCCCCTGGCACAGACCCCTTTTTAACAAATTATTAACATCCGCCTGAAACTTCGTAAATAACTTCATCAGATCATAACCAACAAATATTTACAAAAACTCTCGGAATTGGGACTTTTTCAATCTGAAGGGGGACAAACTTTGTCTATTTAATTAGGTACCAAAAACTCGAATATCCATTTGCTTTCCACCTGAATCATAATATAGTGTGAGCACAAAATCAAGAAAAAAGGTGGCCTTCAAACATATTCAACTGTTTGGCGTGACCTACACCCCCAAATTGTCAAAATAACGAGGTTTTATAGGACAAACGGCTCATTATTTTTGTAGGCCACCATTTTTATCGATTTTGAGGTCAAATTATATTACGATTCAAGTAGAAAGCAAATGGGTTTTCACGAGTTTTTAGTACCTAATTAAATAGACAAAGTTTGCCCCTCTTCAGATTGAAAACGGCCCAATTCAAAGAGTTTTCGTAAATAAAATAGTTGTATGCTACGAAGAGATGAAGTTATTTACGAAGTTTCATGCTTATGTTAGTAATGCGATAAGAAGGGGTCTGTACCACGGATTATGAAGGTATAAAATCTGTTGTTCATCAACGTCTTAAATTAAAACTATATACTATTATCTGCGAATATTAGGAATTGGATAAAATTAAAAAGATGTAGGTTAAAGTTGTTTACGGTTATTTAAACTTAGCAAGTTAGGTAAAAGAGACCAAAAACAAAAGAGATAAAAAAGAGGAGTGCTGCGTGAAAGGCTCAGATATTTTTTAAGATTCCTTCTTTAGAGAGAAAACATATGATTTTACGTAAGATTTTTTCACCATTTCCCAGAGCAGCCGATGTATTTGCTGGTATTCCTCTTATGATTAATTCTTTGATGTAAAAGGCACAAATCCCAAAGATATGGACTACTGCCATTCTTCCTCCACACTGTCATCCTCACGCCAAATGAGTGGGTTTTCTTTCGTAATTAAGTGAAGGTGCGTAAGTCTGGTATGACTTATTCTCAGTCGCGTAAGGACAACTTCCTCTCTGCGTTTACTGCGACTGGGACTGCTGCGTGGCTTTATTTACTTTTTTTATCACCTTTAGATTATTTGGAAGGCTGTTGCCCCATAGTATCTGCCAATCCTGGTGTATGGCCTCTTTCAGGGGTCGCGCCAGTTTGGACGCAGTCAAGAAGACTTTACCACGTCCTGGAAGGGTAAGAGCTTCTTTTGCTGCTCTGTCAGCCATTTCGTTATCATCAATGCCTACATGATCAGGGGACCATAAAAAATGTACCAATGTTCCAATGTTACTTAGCTGTTTTATGAGCCCCAATATATATTCCTATGTGGTCTGGATACATGTTGTTCATGACTTTAAGGGCAATCAAAGAATCTGATACCACAACCACATTTACAACTGACAAATTAATCACATGTCGTAAAGCTATTATGATAGCATTAATATCAGCGGTATAAATGGAAAAAAGTGGATGTAATTTACATCTATAGATAGCGCCAGGTGTGACGAGGGCGGATGTAAGTGATCTGGTCAGGAGCGTATTGTTTTATGGAATAGTTCTTAATATTTTGCAGGTTCTATACTTTCTTTTTAAATTTGGGGAGCAGTAGATTTAATTTATGCTGTATAAAAGTCCAAGGAGGTATGTCATTTTGAATTATATTTAAGTTGATCGGTTTTCAGCTTACATATTGCAAACTTGAACCTTTCTGCTAATGGCAGTGTTGTATTATTCTTCTGTTGGAATTTTGTAGAAAATTCATATTAAAAAATGTATTCGTATGCAGTGTGCGTGGTTTGTGGGTACAACTTTCTTATGTAATTGATTGCTAATTTTTGTCTTCTGAAAGAGAGAGGTGGAAGGCCTGAATCGACGCAGATACTAAGGGGACTTCTGGTTCGGTGAGGGTCTGATATTTTCATTTTATAATTTTTTTGGAAGAGATTATAATTAAGTTTAATGAGATTTTATACATATGAGTATATATACACATATACACGAAATGGTAGAAATCCGACTTCTTTGAGCAAATTAGAACTAAAGATAATAAATCTGTATCCATTAGTTCAGGATAGCTTAAAGTGGACTATACCTAGGTACAGTAGGCTGGGACGAAAAACACATGTAAGGCGGAAAACTATATAATAGTATTACTATTGTAAACAGGCAACTTTTGATTACTATGATCAAGTTGCCTCTTTATGTCAATTTAAACACCTAAAAATTTTGCTTTTTAATACTTATTTCTTGAGGTTCCGCAAAAGGATCAAAAATAAGGTTTTTAGTTATAAAAAATTAAGTTTCAAATACATTTTTTTTTCTGTTTTAGTTATACATTTTTTTTAAACAAAAAATGGTTTTGAAATCTAGTAACGAATCCTTCTTCATTATAAAAACAATGGTATGAAGTTTGAGTGTTCTGGATTTATACTTAGATTTTTCGAAAAAGTTTTAAAAAATGATCTTTTTACCTAAACTTCGAAATATTAATTCCGACCTGAATTAATATTTTACTTTCAAATTGATGTTTAAACATCGTTTTTAAAATTGTAAGATATAAAACAACATTAAAAATTTTTTATTGTGTTTCGGTTTTAAAAAGATTTTAGAAAGAAGTTAAAAATAAAATTTCTTCAAGAACACTTTCCAAAACAAGCTGGCTTCAAGAAAAATCGAAACACTATTGAACAAGTAGCTCGTCTAACAAAAGAAATAAAAAACGGCTTCCAAAGAAAACAGAGCACCCTGGCAATATTCGTAGATTTTAAGACGGCATATGATAGAGTTTGGAAAAAGAAGCTGGTGAGTAAGCTTTTTGACAAGGAAGTCACAGGATATCTGCTCAAGACTATATCTTCTTTCTTACATCAAAGATTTATAAGGATGCGATATAAAAACGTTGTCTCGACATATTGCCAAACAAAACAAGGCTCGGTGCTGAGTCCCTTCCTGTTTAACATCATGATTGATGATATCACGGAACTTACTGAATCTATTCCAGGTACAAATGCTCTGCTGTATGCAGATGATCTCGTCATTTGGGCAACAAGTAGTGACTTTAAAGGGCTAGAAAAGCACATACAACAGGTACTGAAATTACTAGAGAAGTGGGCCAATGAAAACGAGATGATCGTTAATTCCGAAAAGACGGAATTCCAACTTTTTACCCTCTCTACCAAATCACACGAGATCAATTTGAACCATAATAACGAAGAGCTCAAACGCACAGAAGAAGCTACATATCTTGGAGTGAAATTGGATAAAAGACTCTCTTGGAATAAACACATTGAAAAACAAATAGAACAGGCTTCAAAACGACTTTCGTTAATACAGAGGTTAGGTGGCTCAAAATGGAGAGCAACGGGGGATGTTATGGCTCTTACCTACAAAACATATGTCCGTCCTGTTATTAAATATGCAGCAGAACTTGTTATCACAGCTTTGGACGCGATATTACACAAGCTCGACATAATCCAGAATCAAGCCCTTAGACTCGTGACCGGAGGGAGCAGATCAACTCCAATATCTGCGCTAGAATTACAAACAGGCATAGTACCTCTTGAGACACACCGGGAGCAACTGGCCATTACGCTCTATGAAAGGCTAAAACGTCTTAAGATCAACTACTGGAGTATCTATGAACGGAAAATGATGAAGCTGATAAACTGGCCAGAATAGGTTCTGGAATGATCCAACCCGATATTCCTCTGGCCATGGATTCAACAAAAAGAATCATAAAGCAGACCCTCCAAAATATGTACAAACAATAGAAGGGAAACGATGGAGTGAATTTCTGGAAGAAAGTGGCAGGATTTCTAGAGACCTCCCTAGAGGGCAAGCCGTGGCATGCTTTAGAATGCTCACAGGCCACGATTTCCTTCAGAAGCACCTCCACCGCATCGGTGTAAAAGATAGCCCGACATGCCCTCTATGTTCCTTAGATATAATGACAGGAGAACATCTGGATACATGCCCTGCATTACAGGACATAAGATGTTGCTTTAACGAAATGGACAGCTTTTATGCTCGAAAAACAAAATTGTATGGACTGCAAGAGCACGCATGGCTAACGAAGAAGGCGTTACTTAGGCGTAGAAAAAAAAAAAAAAAAAAAAAAAAAAACTTTCTAAATCCCCAAAATTAAAGAACAATTACTATATCATTAATAATTAGTGTCATAAAAATAATTTGAACAATTAGTTTTACACTGATTTAGTTTTAATTTCGCTTTGAAACTGATTTTTTTTTTGTCTCAGATTTCTGCATGATCTTTTGTGAAGTAATTTTTGCTTTTACAAAGCTATGTTTCTTTCTTGAGGACTACAAACTCTTAGTGATGACTCTGTTACAAGCTTTACAACTTTTTCCGCTGTTTGTGAAAACTGAGGACATCTATAAATTGTTTCTGGCAACTAGGTTTTCTTCTATAGTGTTTTAAATCCTCTGCAATTTAGTGTTTGGTGATTGGAGGCTCCGTCCACTCAATCATGCCTATAAAATCTTCTGCATAGAGGTTGAGTTTGAGAATCGCAAACTTTCTTATGTTAGCTTAAGGTTTTTATCTTTCTCTCAGAATTCAGTGAAGATCAATCTCTTGTATTAGTTTTTCCTTATCAAATACCATTAATAGCAGCAAAATTTCTGGGTGAATATAGTGATCATTTATTTGAATGGCTGAGTCAGTTACTGTTCATCAAGATATTTTGAAAAATTTGTCATCAAAAATGTTTGGAACCATTGACATGCGATGGTTGAAGCTTACCAGATAAGGGCATACACCTTCATAACGTACTGTATTAAGGTTTTTTTGAAGGATCTTCTGTTTCAACATACAACTAAAGGATGCGGCTAGCATAGGCGCCGACTTATGAAAATTATTGGGGGGTTCGAACTATAAGATGACGAGGTAAGGGAGTATGGTGATTTGTTCAGAATATATCCTATATGTCTCTATGTAATGTATAATATATGCCAATATGAAAAATTACCATTTCACTCAAATATTGAGTTGTTTCAAGCACTTTCTGATGACAAAAATCTGGTGCGCACAACTTTCACTTAGCACCCTCTCCTTAACAGGAATAAGTATTTTCAGGTAAAGGGGAAGAGAAAGTAAAAATTATAAATGCTGTATCGATTTATTTCATTGTGAGTAGTTTTGTTCGTATAAGTACCCTTTATCGCTATGATCTATACAATTAAATATTAAATAATACAGACAATAGCATTTACGAAAATCTCATATGTATATTTACATAATATTGTTTGAGTCCTTATTATATAAACCTCATGTTTTAATCATTCGGGTGAGCTCGGGTGCACTCGTATTCCTTTGGTACCTCAATTACAACTATTCTCTCTCTACTACGATCTCTTATTTCTCCTTTAGTTAATTATCAAATTCTTTCATATTTTTTATTTAACTATCTTTTATATTAGAGATTAATGTGAAATGGTCAATTGTTTCAAATAAAAAAAAAACAAAGGTACTTTAGAGGAATATAATATTGAAAATTGGCCATTTAAGTCCTGTCAGTGAACATCAATCAGAATGAAACCTACAATTTATTTAAAACTGCTTAATTTCACACTGATGTAATGGATCTAATCAAAATCGTTAGAGCTGTTATAGAGAAAATCGTTAAAATGTGTTTAGTCCATGATATAAAATGCCACTTCCGGTTAACCGATCTTGACGAAAAAATTGCTGTAACATCCTAAGAATATAAAAACCTTAAATATGCAATTTTATTTTCGTTTTTGAGCTAGACGGTTAACATACAAACCATTTTTCGAGACTTGCTTATTTCGACTCAGAGGACCTCAAAACATGTGTTTCCGTTCAAAACTCAGATTCGAAAATTTTTGACGATCGCAATACTTTCTCTCACTATATATTTAATATATAGTGAAAGTAAAAGTGTTAATAGGGAAAACTCTAACCACACGAGCCCTTATTTGTCGGCGACCAGCTAACATAATCCATTGCGAATGGCCCAATTTATCCGTTTTGCTTTTTTTCAAAGGAAAATCCACATGGGTATATTCCAATCGTGATTACTTAAATCTTCTATCAGACTAAATGTTGTGTCGAAATTTGAAATCAAAAACATTCCTCCTAATCTCCAAACGAAATTAAAATCTGATCAATATAAAACTAATTGAATAAATACATATTATTTAATGTTTACATTTTTTATAACATTAATTATTAATTATGTAGTAATTGTCTTTAATTATGTGGATTTGGAAAATGTTGTTGAAGAAATTTTATTTTTAACTCATTTCTAAAATCTTTTTAAAAGCTCATTATTGATATTGCTCATTCTTTTTAATGTTTTTTTGATATCTTAAAATTTTAAAATCTATGTTTAAACATCAATTTGAAAGTAAAATATTAATTCAGGTCGGGATTCACGTATCAAATTTTGAATTAAAATGCCATTTTTAAAACTTTTTCGAAAAATCTGATTATAAATTTAGAGCACCCATACTTCATTTCATAGTTTTTATAGCAAAAAAAAGGATATTTGGTAGATCAAGAAATTTATTACTATAAAATAAAAATAAAATGTAAAATTTAATTATTTCGGATAAAGACCTTATGTTTAAGCCTCTTGCGAAACCTCAAGTTATAGGTATTTTGAGACATTATTACCATAAAAAGACAATTTTTAAAGTTTCCTGCCAAAAAAAGTGTTTTTCGTTCTTTTATACGATCATGAATAAAGCGATTGTATGAAAAAGGCGATTATTTTCTTGAAAAAAAACAAGACAAATATGGTATTCTGAGAAAATACTATTGTAAAATAGTGTTATGATAGAAACTAAATGTAAATGTTTAGAAATTAGCTGGACAAAAGGGAACAAAATGAATCAAAGTTATAAATATAAAAAATCTCCCTAATTGGAAATACTGGAATAGACTTTTCAGAAAAGTTGAAACTATACTTACCGTTTAAGGATTGATTACTGTGAGATATCACAATACACTATGAGTACTGAACCTATATTCTCTGAAAGGTGTAATGTTAAAAACTTCTTAAATAGTCCACAAGACATCAGAGCCGAAGGAACATCATACATATGGACATCAATACCCAGGCAGAAAAAATATTTTTATTTTAAAATGAGTGAAACTACTTAACAGAGTTTGCGATAAAAGTTTCTCGATAAACCTGAACGGTTGGGGTTATAAAAAACAAAACAAAAAAAAAACAAACAACATATTTGCTGGAAGTAGGATTGTTTGATTTGGAAATTATTAAAAAACCAAACATATGTAAATACAAACTTAGTTTATTTTGCATGTAAAATGGAAACTAAGTTGCTAATTACATGTTAGGTAATACAATAGACATTAGTATTTACATTTATTATCGGCACATTCAATCATTTTAAGAACACCTTTCGGGAAGCCTGGCGATCATCTGGTGGTTGGACTTCTTCTGGCTGAAGTCGGGGTTACCTCCCTTCTCGGCCATGGTCACCCAGTGCCTGGCAGCGCTCGAGTCGTTCATGCAATAGTACTCGATCAGCTTCTCGACCGTGCCTTCCGGCTGGCAGTTGTGGTTGCAAGTCAGGTGGGGCTTGATCGAGAAGCAGGTCTTGCCTTCGGTCTTCATGACCCTCACCTTGTGGCTTGAGCAGCCTTCTTGATTCTTGATGCTCGGTTTGCTTTTACTGGAATTGCGACCTTTAGTTCCATGGCTGCTTCCACGCCCCGCTTCGTAATCTGTCACTACATTGGCGAAGATGACTTGTTTAGGATAACAAGGAGCGTTCTGTGCCTGTGTGTGGACTTCTTTAGCTTCACCTTTGCATGTTGAATCTGGAACGGCGTATGAGCCAACCAAATGTTGGTGACTTCTCAAGACGCAGTTTCTAGGCGAAGTAAAGTCGTTGACAGGCTCTCCGTCGAAGGTGCCACACAAGCCTCGAACCACGTTCCTGTAGCTGTTTGGAATCCGGAGTTGAACTCGATATCCGTCGTAGACGATTTCAATTTCTTGGTTTACCAATTTCAGGACTACGTTGTTAGTGCCGGGTTTAACGTTAGCTTGAACCGGGTGAGGGCCTGCATTCCATCGGGCAACGTTGTGCTCGGAAAGCTGAATGGTTGCGTCGTTATAGTTGACTGAGACTCCGTCTGATCCAGATGGTTCCAATGTTACAGCTTCGTTTCCAATTATTAATTTCACAATCTGTAAATATTTTATATTTTATTAGTGTTTTTAAAGTGTATTATTACTCTACTAAAATTTAAATAAAATGCATTTAATAATTAAATATTATAAATATTAGTGGTATTCATGCAGCTTGTGGTAAATGCTTAATGGATTATCATCCAAAACAGTCAGCACAACTTTAAATGAACGACCCTTGTTTGCTAACCGGCTAATGTGTTATTTGTTATAGTAAGGTTATGGCTGTATTGTAAAAAACGTTTTGAGTTCTCCTGTTTGATTGGTCTAATAACGTTTTGATTTGTTTTTAAAAAGTCAAAGGGGAATAAAAAGGTAGAGTTGCAGGATTATTTTATTAAAAGTGCTTTAATAGAAAGCGTGAATGATGATTCAGAAGGCAAAGAACTTAATGGAAACATAAATGAAATCCTAGCTGTTAAGTCAATGAGATATGGCAGGAACTTTGTTCTGAATCTTTTAATTTGTGCCAGGAGATACCTCAAATAGATGAAGCCATATTTAGGCAGACGGTGAAGGTTGATAGATATCAATTTAATTTTATATTAAATATAATTCAATACAGTCCTGGGTATTGTACAGATCTGTATTGGTAGACGAATATTGAACACGAAATCAAAACCTCATTATAACCTTCGTGCAAATTATTAATATCCGCCTGAAGCTTCGTGAATAGTTTCATATCATCGTAACCTACAAATATTTTATTTACGAAAACTCTTGGAATTGGGGTATTTACATTCTGTTGGTCGGCAAACTTTGTCCATTTAATTAGATACTAAAAACTCATAAATACCCATTCGCTTTCCAATTAGAACGTAAGATAATTGTATTACAAAATCGAGAAAAAATGCGTACTACAAAAATATTTCGCCGTTTGGTCTATATAACCTCGTTATTTGGTTATTTTTGGGACGTAGGCCACGCCAAACGGCTCAATATTTTTGAATCCCGCATTTTTTTTCTCGTTTTTTATGCGTTTTATCTTACGATCCAATTGGGAATCAAATGGTTATTTACGAGGATTTAGTACTTAATTAAATAGACAAAGTTTGCCGATCTCCAGGTTAAAAACGTCCTAATTCCGAAAGTGTTTTTAAATAAAATAGTTGTGTGTTAAGATGAGAAGAAGCTGTTCACGAAATTTCAGGTGGATGTTAATAATAATAGTGGTCTGGACTATGGTACTAAATTTATTATTGGAAACAAATGTGTGAAATCTTTTTTTTTTTCATTCACAATACAATTATCATGTTTTTGTGACAAATCATTTTTACAAAACCATTCTCGTCAACTGCTTTAGAAGGTGAATGCTCAGCAATAATTTAAAATGGCTAACTTTACGTTATAAAGAAAACAAAATTAACGTTTATCAGCTCAAGGTTTAATCAAAATATTAGAAAACGACTTCTTGTTCGTGCTACAGGAATGTTTTCACTTAAACAATAATTCTTCTTCAAATAGAGTAATGAGACTGTGTTAGAGCTGATAAACAATTTTTTCGATAATCGATAATGTAATATCGAGATTTTTCATTGAACGCAATCTATCGACTAACATTTACCTTAGCATGGAAGCTAACATCCTGTGCTGATTACCATGTAATGTTTACTATCGATAGCGAACGGAAAATAAAGGAACAAACGTAATTTGTTTAAAAAAAATTAATGGTATAATTTAACATATCTTTGGTTGATTGCAATTATTCACTAATTGTTCTTTTTATTGTGTTGTACTTTGAAGTGCATATTTGTGAATTTCTATTATATTTATCAATAAGAAAATTGATCATGTATGTCAAAATAACACAACCTATTATATGATATGACGATATAGCGTTTTTTCGGTGATACAAGATCGAAAAATATTCGACATATGTCCTAGCATTCGTTGTAATGGGCCATAAGAGCCGAGAAAAAAATATAAAAAAATGTAAAACAAAATCATAAATTACAAAAACAAAAAGAGCATCTAGTAAAGAAGGACAAGTAATTTTCGTTATGAAAAAGCAAGTTAGATTCCTTTTTAGTGTCCTTTGAAACTCTTAAATACGATTTTTTATAGTAATAAAAAAATTAATACTTGATTTTTTTACAGATTTTTTTTTCCGACTGAAAAATAATGCATTAATAATTTCTCTGGATTTTCTCTTAACCCCAACGTTAGTACAACAGTTGGAATGTTAAATTACTGCTCTTCCAACTGATATTAATAAATTTTAGATTTCATTCCTTTTTAATGTAGAAATAATTTTAATTTTTAATTATTAAATTTCAATAATTTTATTTTTAATATTTGGTTTTAATTTGTAACTGATTAGATTAATTATTTATTTAAAAATAAACAACATAAATTTTGTTTGACATTATGTGAAATTTATTTGTCTCGACTCTTACATTCCATCGGATCGAACATTGGAACACATGTCCAATATTTTCCGATGTATGTATCACCGAAAAAACGTTTGGATGAAATCTGTGACTCAACGAATAAAGCATTTCCTTGAAAGTGCAAAATTAATTTCAACAAATGATGAAATAATGCATGTTTTATCGAATTACTTATTACCGACAACATGAAAGTTATTAAATCCCCACCACTTAGTCAAATTGATTTAATTAAGAAATCGATATTTAAAATTACGAAAAGTGCACAAAATGAAACTGAATAAAATGAATATGATAATCCATATCAAAGATTGAACTTAATAAAGGAATTATTTAAGTACCTTCTTGTGTGAATCCGTTTGTTTCACCATGACAACGAAATTCTTTTGGGATTGACCACTGCCTTCGGAATATTGTTGACCTCGTTGATCCCCATGGCTAGTTGGAGGAGCATGCATTGCCATAACATGGTAACAATCACCTAAGTTGACTGGGTATGTCCTGTTGTTGAACGTTGTTGTATTTACAGCATCCAGAGTGCAAGTACCTTAAAAAATAATTTTATTGATTTTATTGATTCATGGCCATTATTCCACCAACATTTCATTTATTATTAATAAATAAAATCGATAAGGATGAAAAAAATAGTAAGTTATGATGTGGAGTCTCTTTTTACAAACTTTCCGTTAAAAAAGTATATAAAATATTAGAAAAAGAATGGTCGGAAATAGAACATTATACGTCAATTAAAAATAAAGCATTGTTCTTAGAATTTTCGTAAACTAAAAATTAGGCATTTCCTCTTTGTTAGAGAACATAAATGAGAATAATATCTAGCTGATATTAATGGTTTTTTTTTTATGCATTGATATACCGAGTTTAATCGAAATCGTTGAAGCGGTTTTCGAGAAAATCGTAAAAATGATTATAAAGTGGCACTTCCGCTTAGCCGATTTTCAGAAAAACGTCGCTGTAACATCACAAGCATATACATATCTTAAATACGTATTATCAGTTTCATACGACTTTTCGTTTTTGAATTAGACTGTTCACATACACACACAAACACAAATCATAACGTGGGACATGGTTATTTGGACTCATGGGACCTCAAAACGTGTATGTCCGTTGAAAACTCAAATACGCATGTGCGGTTGATAAAATATTTTCATGATCGCAAAAATTTCCCCTTACTATGTTTTAGATATATAGAAAAATGAAAACAAAACGTTGTATGTTTGTGTAATAATTTGTATAAAAAGGGGTCTGCATTGCGGTGTAATAATAAGGTGTAATAATTTGAACTCATACAATACCTGCTGGAGTCCAGTTGAAAAGTTGCTTGGAAATCAGCTGGTGCTGGCTATATCCAGAATGTTGGACCACGATTGGTCTAACTATCTCGTTCAGCAGCACGTTCTCAAGCGTTGTACTCATCCATGGAGCTTCCATTGAAACGTTAGCATATTCGAGGTCGTGGTTCAATTGGACGCCGACAGTGAGAACACCCGGTGGGTTTTTCACGTCTACAACATTTTCTACAAGATTCGGATGAGCTAGGATTCGTACTTGACTATACAACCAATAGGCTCCCTTCTTCAATCCTGATGGAAGATTCTCGTAATTAACGGTAAGGTTATAGGTATCCAGGTAACCTGCGGCTAGTGTGGCATTGCGGCAGGGGTATTGTAAGTAATGGCCTTGCTTCATTTGCTGAGCGCATAATGCGGAGAGGGAATGTTCCTGTACGTACCGTTTCCTTTGTTGTGATCTTCCCATTTTACCCTAAAAAATACATATATATATAAAATAAAAATAAAGTCAAAGATGCATACATTGACGTATATATCCTCATTCTCCCGGGTTCCGTAACTGCTTCTTCGTCTTGTAAAAATTCTCATGGCTTTTGAAACAGTTAAACATTTTTTTTTTTTTTTTATTGAAAACTCCTTAAGGCGCTTAGCACTTTATTTTGTGGATATTGAATGAGAATGCCACGGTCGGGTATGTAACGTTCATTGTGGTAAAGTCAGCTCGAGTCGACTAATTTTTGCATTTGGATCAAAATATCAGAGAAATTAAAAATTGGACCTGCATACTCTAAGAAAGGGAAATGTTTACCATTTCATCCTCTTTGTTATGGGTTATTACTCAAAAATTTTATCTTGACTCAACGCTGAGTTTAAGAACCAAAAAGAGAAAAAATGAGGTTAAAAACCAGTCGATAACTAGTTTTTTTGAACATTTGGATTAAAATATCTCAAAAACTGAAATTTTCAGCTTTCCATCCTCTTTGTAATTCAAAATTGTATTTAGATGTTACGGTAAGTTAGAGAGTTAGAAATGTAGAAAAATGATAGATTGTTTTGACATTTGGACTACTATATCCCAAAATTTAAATAGCATGATGAATTCGGAAACTAGTTTTCAGAATTTAACATAGATATTTTTTTAATTGGCTGTAAAAATATGTAATTGAATTAAAAAGTTTTTATATTAGATTTTCTTTTGCACTCAATAGTGTTTTAACAAATTACTCACCTATGTTACAGAAGTTTCTTACTAAAAACACATTTTTATTACCAATTTAGATGATAGATAATCGAAAAATCATTATTTTTTATTGAATACTTAATGGTTGACCGTTGTATATTTTTGAGGAAGGAGATGGTCCGGGGTATCGATCATAAAGGGACTAAAATAGTGGAAAAACTATTTTATTTGAAACCAACGTTTCGACCCGACTTTGCAGGTTTTCTTCTGGCAGATGCGTTCAGCAAGGAATAAAATATTTTTTGAAAATATACTCTTTATGACCTCCGCTCAGAACCATCTCCTTCCTCAACTTTATTATTATCCCGGGTCATCCAAAAAAAAAAAATTAAAGATTTGCAATTGCAATCATTTTTACTGAAAACATGAGTACTTTTGGGCGACAGGGTAAAAAATCACATATTTTTTTATGACACGGGATGAGGTGAATCTCAACTTTATCCTTAATATACCTCAACTTCGTTAATATGGACTTGAAGTGGGTTAATGTTTTTCTAAAAGTGGGGTGAATGTAGTATATTTCGGAGGTGGTAAAAAAAATCACAAATACTTTAGGATTTTTTCAAAATAGACCTTAGCTTAATTTGGCTGTTCAAAAGTGATATTGGAATGATTTTAACAATGACAAATTTAATTTTCGTTTGAAGTAAATATTTTATAGTTTACAGTGAAGTAATTATTAATTACTTAAATTAAGTATTTCTTTAGTTATCGTTCCCTATTCAACTAAAGACTTATTTAAAAAAAAAACACAAAATTAAAATTTTCTACTTCTATTTTATAAATTAGTAAATATTTACCTGTAGAGTTATCTTGGAATCGCTACCTTGGCCAAGATTTATTTTCCCTTCGATATGAGTTGTCGGCTCAGTATTAATTGCGTGTTGGAAGTTCGAAAGGGAAACGTGCGGTTTTTTTACGTTAATTTCAACTGCGGCCTATGAATTGAAAATTTTTTAATTATACATTTTTATTTTTTCTTACAAAAGTATGATAAAATGCAATATTTATTTTACCTCTAATCCATTGCCATCGCTAGTTCCCTGAAGAGGTAAGCCTCGGTAGTATACTAAGTATCGTGACTGCTCAGAAACTGGACTGCCTGAGTGCCCTAACGTGATCGAGTACTGTCCTTTGTTCTGCTTTCCACCGAAAGAAATCGAAGCGTCGAGGACACGCGCCGTGCCGTCTTGGATTCCAGAGTTGGCGTTGCTTAACAAATCTTCAATTCTGCTGTCTAATGTGGATGGATGTCCCAGATTGATTGGTCCAGGATGGGGCTTTTCCTTTGGATGGATTTTGTTCCAGAAGAAGTTGCCTTTCTTCGGACCTTGCTCGCCTCCCTGCCGAGTGTTGTAGGAAATTTTGATCACTGTTTCTTGAGATGTGCTTTCGTGTGGATTGTAACTGATTGTGTAGTTGTTGTTTGCAATCGAATCATCAAGATGGGTCATCAATGTGAGGATATCCGTGGGGACGTAGTTAAGTCCCTTTGCAGCACTATACAAGTCCTCGAAACTCTTTTCACTATTGACATCAACCTGGAAAGCGTAGCCGGTTTGTTCCTTACCATATCTTTTCGTATACTGAAAAAAAAGAGATTTGGCAGGGTTATTTGGAGCCATGCAATAATCTCTACACTACATGGGAAATTGTATTATTAATTCTCACCGTTACTGGAGTTTTGGAATGAACTTGTCGAACATGAGATCCTTCGACGTAGGGCTTGACGTCATTGATATTTTGGTAGGTCGTGTAAACATTTGTGCGGTATTGAAGGACTTTGAGCAGGGCATTGTTGTGGCGTGGCTGAAGCGAGAGCTGCAATGAGTTCTGGCTGCCGTCGTACTGTATCTTCCCTTCTACTGGTAAGTGTACCTGTGCGGCTCTTTCGAAGCCTGCTACGTACCTTTGCTGTCCGAAAACGAATGCTAGTTTGGCTCGTCTCTGGTTCGTTTGACTGTAATAAAATATATTATTAAACTTTATGGAGTAGATATCTTTACTTTCCCTCACCTATATATATGAAATATATAGTAAAAGAAAGTATTGCGTTTGTAAAATTTTCAAATCCGAGTTTTCAGCAGAAATACAAGTTTTGAGATTTCATGAGTCCAAAAAATCTTGTCTCGTAAAATGGTCTGTGTGTATGTGAAAACTAACTCAAAAACTAATTTGTATTTGAGGTTTGTATATGAATATGATGTTACAGCAGATTTTTCATCAAAATCGGGAAACCGGAAGTGGCACTTTATTATAATCGGATAAATATATTTTTACAATTTTCTCAAAAACGGCTCTAACGATTTTGATTACACTCGGTATATCTGTGTATTATTAAGTGGTATTTAATATCAGCTAGGTCTTATCCACATTGATGTCACCTTACAGAGCTTAAGTGACCAATGTTCATTATTTCTACTTATAAAATACCTTTAATTTGGTTTATTTAAAAAAATTAACTGTCTCTCGTTATTCGGAGTTTCGAAAAAAATGCTTAATACAATTTTTGAAAGGATTTGATAATTGGATAATAAAGAAAAAATGATGAATGTTTATTATGGTCGAAAATGAATCCCCGGAAATAATAGTCAGGTAAACTAGACAAACACTCCAAACTTCCAATTAATTACAAAAGACTCGTGCACATGACTATAATAAGGCCTATTTGAACTTACGGAGTTGAGCTATGGGGCTAACTATGGGGCTAACTAAACTAAACCATCGAGTTCCTCTCGTATCCAATCCTTACAATCCAAAATCCTTCGTAAAATCCTCAATGCTCCCTACTTTGTTACAAATAAAACCATCTTAATGTCCCTTATGTTTCCGATTTGGCCCAATCCAGATACCTATCCTTCCATAATAAACTTCAGAATCATCCCAACCCGCTCGTTTCTAACCTTGCTTCCCCTTCAATTCCTGATAACCCTCCGAGGCGTCTGAAAAGAAGATGGCCCCATAGTCTCCTAATGTAGACATATTATTAGAGTGCTACCATTGGGTAGTTTCTCAACATGTGTTTTTACGTCATTATATCCATATGTTCAAATTTACTAAATGTATTTCTTTAATGCAGTTATAAATATCATTAAGAAATAAAAATAAACTATTTAAAATCCACCGAATCAACGCAATGGCATTGTTTAAAAAACTATTTTATTGTACTTATGTGAAAGAAGAAGCGAAATATAAAAATATTTCATGGATGTTTAAAACCTTTAATTTGGTTTATCTAAAAAACTTAACTGCCTATCATTGTTAGGAATCAGGAAAAAATGCTAAATTTAACTTTGAAAGAGTTTGATAATTGAATATTGGAGAAAAATGAAAACATGTGTATTTAGGTCGAAAACGAATCTTCGGAAATAATAATCAGAAGATAAACGTATAATATATATTTTCGGAAACTGGAGAATTTTAGAAAAACAATATCTAAGGTACAAAGCCTTAGAAGATAATGGAGAGTGACAAAAAAATTATGCATAGTAAATTTTGAAAACTTATATTATTTAACGAGAACCACATGTTTCCAAGGAAATGAAATGGTCTAACTAAATTATTTTTAAGTTCGAAAAATCTATAGAGATAATGCAGAGTGATGAAAAACGTGTAACCTTATTGGTGGAGACGAGTGGGAAAAACATATGGTGATAAATTGTTTTAATTGAATAATTGCTGACCAGTGCGAAAGTATTGCACACATTATTATACTTAACGATGATAAGTTATACTTACAGGTATTGAACTCCGCCGTTAAATGCAGCATCGAGTGGACCTGTGGTTCCTTCTGAATTGGGTTGTCGTCCAAAGTTGCCATTTCCTTTCACCCCCAGGTAGTGAAGCGACGGCGCCGAGTAGGAGTATGTGAATCTCAAACCCATGGTCATCGGGAACCCTACTTCAACTGAATCCTGATGGTAATATTTGGTGTGATGGAGGTTTACACCTTTCTGTAATATTTGTTGTAACTCCCGTGCGACTAGAAAGAATGAATTAGTTTTTAAATAAATGGAAAAATTAATTTATTGGATTTATAAGATTTAGAGGATTTTTTTAAACTTACGCTTTGGCAGTTGTTCGATTGTGTGGTTGTCAAAAGTGAAAAATCGCTTTGCTCCAAAAATTGATACTAAGATGTTTCCTTCAACCTGCTTCTGTTCATCGTATTCTGCTTTTAATAAATCCTGAATCTTTTGATAGGTATAATCAGATCCTTGGGTTTTGCTCCCACTGGTTTTAGTTCCATAATCCAATTGCTGCATTAATAGGTTGATGAGGTCTTGGGAACTTGAAGTAAGCACGGATAACTATCAAAGAAAGGATGTTATAATCAATAACATGACAGATTTTTATTTTTAATTTTTTAAAAAAATAATCTTAACATACCGTTTCTGGGTCCTTGAGATATCCTCCTATCTTCCTATGTAAGTCATATACGATAGCACTTGGGAATCCACCATCCAAACCATGTATGTAAGACATGTGATGATGCTCCATTGTATTTTGATGTTTTTCAATAAAGGAAGAGATAAAGTTCCTGCAGTATTGGGCTTCATAGTTTTCTGGAGTGAGTAAGTTTACTGCAGATTGTGCATTTTCTGACCTGAAAAAAATGAGAAAAATTCTCGTTAGACATATTACATTTGGCATAATAGCAATATTTTGTAATGATACCTACATTTCTGGATCTGCACGGTTTCTGGCAGCACTCTCAATACCTGACTTTACAGCAGCATTCACATGTTTGCTGGAGTCATAATTTGTTTGCTCTGCCATGTGCTGCAAGAGTTGTACTGGAGGATTGGTCTTCATCAGCTGCATAACAGCAGCAACCCTCACCTCTGGAGCCTCCCCTTGATTGCTGTAAGATCTATAAAGTACAGGAAGAACGATCTTTGGATGAACTGTGGCTAATTTATCGAGAGCGGCGATCATTAAAAAACGTCTGAAGGTGGATAGTTCTTTTTCCCCTTCCAAATAAGGTTTAAAAACAGACAAAATTCGACGGTGTGCCAAGTTGCCCAATGCGCGGATGTATACCTGAATTTTTGGAGAATCATCCTGAGCAACGGCTTTATTAAGTTGAGCCTCTAAGTGTGGGATGTATTTGTCATTGACAACAGAGCGGTGGGTACTCGAGTCAGCAAGATGGACGGAGTAGCGATTTCGCGAGGTAAGGCGATCTACTTGTGATTTTCTGGACAGTTCGGTGAATGCAAGAATTGCTGATGCGTTCAAGTACTGCTGCTTTTGAATTACGTCGCTGGTAACCAGATCCTAAAAGGTAACATAGTATTATCTTTCTCTTACCGACCAACAGGTATGGAATTAAAATAGAATAAACTTACAAAGAAGTGGTTCATATATTCCGTTGTGGGGTAGCGAGCTGCGTTAGGTAAAGCGGCAACAACTGCAGCTGCTTCCTCACCTTTGATTTTAGAGGAGTTGATCCATTCCGTAATTGTAACTAAAGCTGGTCCAGTTCCAGCCTGTGCTACTGCGTCTCGGAAAACGACCCTGAAAAAAGTTGTTCTAATAACAAAGAATCTAAAATCTAATGAAATATACAGAATCAAATTGTAAATTTATAAAAGATATCTAATGATATTTAAGAATCTTTCGTACCACGCTTGACTGTATTGAACTGTTTTGGTCCCTTCTCCAGCCTCCGAACCTTGAAGATTGTCAACAGAATAGTGCAATTTCGCACTAGCTTCTCCAAGTTGTTGTGAATTCGCCCCACTTACTAGGCGAGAAAGTATTGAATAGTTAGTAAGTAGGTTTTGATCTATTATTTTGTTTGGTTCAAGGACGGTTTCTGCCACTTTTTTCGCAATATTTATAATATTTTTAACTACTTGACTTTTTTGAGATGGCGTGCTGGCCATATTATCGGGCAGAAAATCGATTTTCGGCGATTCGTTGATTTTGGGTGGGGGGGATAGATATTCTTCGCTGGAACTAATTGAAGAATCTTCGCTGGAAGATGATGATGAAGAACTGGAAGAACTAGATTGGCTGTCTTTTCTTTGCCTCTTTTCTGCAGAATTCGAAGGTTGTTTTTTAATAACCCATTCAGCAGCTTTAATTGGCTGCCATTTATTTTTAGTGTTTTTCGTCATCGGTCGGTGTTTATCCTGAGTATGTCCATTTTCTTCGGATGAGCTTGATGAGCTTGAAGAATGATCCTGATCACTTCCTGACGAACCGTTTTCATCAGAATCACTTGATGATGATGATGATGATGATGATGATGATGATGATGATAATGATGATGATGACGACGAAGATGATGAAACATCTGTGCCTGCACGGGTAAGCCTTTCACTCCGGGCTTCACCTTGTTCATACTCATAGGTCAATGTTTTCAATATCCTAGGCTGGGCGATGGGCTGAGATGGTCCAGTTGAAGAAGTGACAGATACAATAGACAAAGTCAGACGACTGACAGCTATTCCCTTCTGGCTGTTATATATATGAGGTGATACTATAGCCTTCTCGATGGTGTCAGAATGTTGGATAGTGTAATTCTGCAGACTGCCAGTTAAGATCATCCTGCCTGTGCTTGACCTCTGTAAAAAAATAAAACAAAAAACAAATAGAAGTTAAATTTATTAATAATGGATAACACACAAACTATAACGTATACAAACTATATAGTTATTGAAATATCATAATATGTTTACACACTGACAATAAATTAGGCGAGAGTTGAAAAATTTGCGAATATAGAACATCCGACTGTACATCAGCTGGTGTAATGGTTACGAATTTGTCCGTGGAAATAATTCGCATAGTATTTTAAAATGAAATAATGCCATGGATCATAAAACGAAGGAATCAATCCTCATCTGTAATTGAACAAAAGAATAGAAAATGCAATAGACCACCAGGATATGATTAATACAAAGTGAATTATTAAAACAATTTCCGAGAAAAGAAATAATGCACTCGGTAAATTTATATAAGTCCTATTTAAGGCTCAGATATTTCCTTACTAATTGGGAGCGTCATGCACTGTTATTGTCTTGGAGTCACAGACATTTTGACAGAAATTCATGTTTTCCGGCACACTTTAAAAAAAAAAATGTATTCGTAAGGCAGAAAACTTACCGACTAAATTATCAAATAACTTCCAAAAAACATTCAATCGGTCAAAAGATTTTAGCCTACAATGCATCCAACTTTATTAAAGGGCACACGATATTTTCAATGATACCAAATCAACTGAAAAACAACTACAGTCGTTTCAAAATGGAATTTTAAGGAAAGTCGTCAAAAGAACATCCATAAAAAGTCATGAGGTGACAATACCCCAAGAGAAATTAAAAAATTTCTACAATTAAGGATTTCATAATTGATATAAATGCTATTTGTTTCAAATCAGTAAACGATTTCTGGACCACCTCACCTATGGCAAAAGTTGTTTGTAAATTAAATTTTTAGTTTTAGTTTTTAAGTGCTAAACAAAAAAAATAAATAAATAAAACAGCACAGATTTTATTTATTATTATTACTCTTTTTTTGTTACTATATTTTATTTCTTTATTTATTTTTAAACGTATATTTTTTATCTATTATTTTTACTTATTTAATTTTTTTTCTTTAAACCCACCAGCTAAATATTTTAATAATAATATTTTTATGAATAAGGTGCTGACCAGTTAGATGTTTTGCGCCCATAACATCAAAACAACCAACCAACCATCTGAAGGAGAAGAAAATATTCAAAATGATGGCTCAATCATCAGATTTGATGCAGAATGAAAGAAGATATGACGTGACGACAAAAATAGCCCTTTGAGAAATAATATAAAGATACACTCTACCTCCCTGGTTCATAGGGATCTATTCGACAATATGAAATATGTATCTAATGGCCTCTGTGTATCTAACCTTGAATTATTGTAGTTGAAAAAAAAATACAAATATTATTGACGGCAAACATCGAAAATTGAGAGTGAAAGAGGAAGACCACTCTTATTTAATTTTTTTTATTCTTATTTTTTGGACTAACCATCCAAACAGTATAAGATTAGTATTATTTAGTTGATCGGGCGCTGATGACCTGGATGTTTTTGCGCCTAGACATCCAAACAAACAAACTCTTGAGATGGCTAGTCGAAGTGGAGGACATCCTGAAAAGGATGAGAATCCGAAGATGGCGAATGCTCGCCCTGGATAGAGGAGAGTGGAAGGAGGGAGATCATAAGAGAGGCCCAAGCTCTTGCAGGTCCGTAGCGCAAAGAATAAGTAAATAAATAAAATGTTTTTTTAATTTAACTTACAGAAAGCAGATTGCCCATTTGATTTGTTCCTGCGGTCCATCCCTCATGACCATTCGTTCCCCACCGGTAAACAATATGGTGATCACTGTTGGAGTAATTCTTTGTCTTTTCTACGATGTAAACTTGTCCATTTCCTTTGAGATGAGGAAGTGGCATTAATTCTGGTCTGCTTTGAATGATGTACTCTGGCATTCGGTAGATTTCATGCAATGTCTCATCAACACCGCTAACGGAACCCTAAAAGAATGTGTTTCTCTATAAGTTTTGCTTTGTAGTGAATATAGTAAACATAAATAGAAAAGAAAAGAAATAAGGCTTGCCTACCTCCTTGGTCTTATAGGCCCTACTTTGTTGATCTCCTTGTGGCAAGCTGTTAACTTTGGAGTGTTTTAAATTAGCGCCTTGAGTATTCAGTTGCAACTGAGCGGCTATTCCTTTCAAAAAATTAACTCCCTCAGTGGAAAGACCTTTCTCCACAACCATGCTCTCCACCTGTCGAATAATATAAATAATTGTCATTTATTGATCTAATATTTAAAGATCTAGGGCGACTGAACTTCCACTTATATCACCCTACAATCAATTGAAATTAGTTAAAAATAAATTGATAAACTTCAAAAATTTTGTTTTAACTGTTAATATAAACTTAAGAAGATTACTTAAATACGCAATTTCCTGAGCGTTATTTGTATTTTGTGCGTAAAGCTAAAAATAAATCTTGAAAGTTGTTGCTGAAATTACCTTTAATTCCCATGTTAACATTAATTTTCTATTCAATTGTAAGTAGAAAATAATTAATACCACAACTATTAGTCACTACTTTCCATTATCTTATACTACTTCATAAGTTAGATATTATAATGGCATTCTTCCATAGTACATAATTATCCATTTTTTATTACTATTATACTAACAATGAAATACGATTAATTATTTTATCTAAACATAATGAAAGGTACTTTACAGGGAAATTTTTGAAAACTCTACAGTTTAGCCTTATCTTTACAGTTTGAATTCTAGATAAACTACATCTGAGCACACAACTTCGGCCAGTCGGTGGAAAGCTGTTAGCTTTCTATGCGAAAATTTAAATTAAAGAGGCGAAATTTGACGGTTCATTTATCGCAAGAACATACGGCTGAAATTTTGATATGATGTCAAGAATTATGTTCACCTTGACTGACGATATGCTCGGTTGTGTTTCGAAAACTGATGACCTCAAAGTCATCGCATGGGATCGTAGGCGTGTTTCACTCGTTGAGTCTGCCAATCTAAACTTACGCGGTTTTTACCTTTTCAAGACTTTTGGTTAGGATAATTTAACTATATTAATAACAGAACTAGAATGTATAAGCAAATTAGGTAGCTTTTATATATTTTGTTGTCATAAGAGACTTCTACATCCATAACATTTATCAAAAAAATAAGGAAAAATTGAACTGGTAGTATCTGAAGCTCCCAAATTCATTTCGGTCAAACGAAATTTCGTCTCCTCGCATATTACTACTCAACGTAAGCTTGAATAAAATCGAAAGTGAATAAAAATTTTTATTGAGCTCGGATATAATCGTTTATATACGTAAAGTTGAAAAGCCATTAGAGCACTCGAACTTTGAAATGCATTTTGTCCTTATTTGTTTGTTAATCGTTATGGATATTAAAGTCCCTTATACCAACAGAAGTGTAGCTTTAAGTTATTCAGTTAAATGAAATGGTTGGTATAACCGGCCAGTATAATAATTATGAATATAACCACCTGATATCAAAGACTTGATATTACATAGGTATAATGAGTTTAATCAAAATCGGTAAAGCCGTTTTCGATAAAATTTTAAAATCGTTTTTTAATTATTATTATATTATTTTATTTTACATATTTTTTATTATTCATTATCTATATCTCTTTTGTATATGTATTATCTGAATGAATACATATAGCGGCAATAACTGTCCCCTTTCAATGTGTTATTATTATTCAATAATTCAACAAACTTGTATATAAAAAAAAATAATTAAAAAAGCAGACCGTGACGTTCATGAGATTTATTTTTCTTTGAATACAAGTAGGCCAGTAAACTGATTATTTTGTATTTGTTCTTGTACCAAAGAGATTAATCAGATTTTTAAAAAGTTTGTCTAGTTTTTGAATCGGTAAGACATTGAATGTACGATTTCTTTTTAAATAACGCTCACACGCTTTTTTAAAAAGTTCTATTTTAACAGTTTCTGTGAACCATTTCTGTAATAAAGTTCCAAGCTTATGATTTAAGTTTAATTTTATTTAAGTATTAATTTAACTTCTTAAAAAAAATCCGTTAAATGAAATATAAACAATAATTGAGTTTAGATTGGGGTTATAATTTGTCTCAAATGAATTCGTTTCAAATGAAGTAGCTAAGAATACAACTCGTATTGTGTGGTCTAAAGAACCCACCTTAGTTTTTTTTATTTATTCTTATTTTTATTTTATTTTTTGACCAGTACCGTATTTAGGCAAAACTTCTGTGAACCAAACTGATCTTTTGAATAATTTTATTAAATGTGTGAAATAATAACTTACAACGCCATTTTTCATCATCAACTGGAAACGACCGCTTTGAAGATTGTATGGTTTATATTCCAGTTGTTCTTCCGGAATTTGCGTGGCCCATCCTTCACTCATATTTTGGTGAACGTCAGCATATTCAGGTTCTTGGACCTGTGTTCATAGATGGATTAGAATTAAATTATGGAATTTTTGAAGTTATTGATTAGACGTGTATGAACTAAACATTACCTGAACTGTGAGTTGGCTGTCTGTGTCGGCTGTGACCTGAACTTTACCCCGGACAAGGACTCCCGAATACTGGTTGCTAACTTGATGGATACCAACCAGAGTCCTTCCTTCAAGTTGGTATGTGTATGTATTACCTGGTTTCCAAGCTGTGGATTAAATGACAAATATATTAATATTTATAAAACCAATATAGCTTTTTTAAAAATAATATTTACATTATAATATAAACTTTTTCGATAATTACTTACCATTATCGGCTGAGGACAGTGCCAAAAACGCTGAAAAACATAAATAAATTAATTTTACTTACTTTATTTATTTATTTAGACATATAATATTCTGTCACAGGGACAATAATTATATTGATAAATGAATATATATGTCACAGTCACAAATAAATTAATAAAGAAAAAAAAACATGTTCGAAATTATTAATTGTTGTTTTCGTGCGGGTATGTGGAGCTATGTCGAAGTTACTTTTGTAATTTTCGGTAAAAAATCGAAGGTTGGAGCCTAGGCGAAAATTTTGTGAAATGTTTTTTATTAAGTTCAGAATTCATATTTAAAAGTTTTTCGATGAGCGAAATACAAATCTCAATTAATTTTTCTTAAAAAAAAATATTTGATCCCAATTTACTCCTTAGTACAGTATCATTTTTTTACTCATACTGTTGCTGTATGCCAAATATATATTTTATTATAAATCGAATGTGTACCGAAAATAGGATTACGTGAACAAAATTTGGTATTTTGCCGAGATTTGATCTGCAAATGAGAATGAAGAATGTATTGTACATAGTATACATACAATATGCTATCAAATATATTTTGTTGCGATGAAAAAAGATGATATTCGTTTTCTATACCTCTAAAAACACTTAAATAAGAATTTTCGTTGTAATAGAAAAATTAAAATTTTTGCTCAATATTCGGCCTTTATTAATGGCTGTTATGAGATCCATCAAAGTATATAGCTGTTATAGGAGATATTACAACTGGTAAATATATTTAAATCTTGAGGAAATTATCATTAAAATCGAAAAATAAAAAAAAATTGCTGTACTAATATCTACTACAAGAACTATAGACATCATACGTCAGAAAGTAAATTTTTAAGAAAACATTTTAGATTTTTCAATTGCAACGAAAATACTTAATTAAGGGTTTTTAAAGGTGGGAAAAATAATATCATTTTTGTTTATCCCGAAAAATCTATTCACAAAAAATGTAACTCATCAAAATAAAGTAATAATTTTTCACTATTTAATTCTATCTTCATAACTTTTCACAACATTAAAATAAAAATAAAAATTCTTACCGAGGACAAATACCGTGAAGGGAGCCCACATTTTGACCAGCTGCCCCGTAAAGAGTGTTCGCTGTTGCACAATTCTTCGTTTTTATACTGAAGCAAAACCAACCGGATCAGCAATACTGATATAGCTAGTTCGTCAATAGCTTTTCTTTTTTCCACCACATTAAAAAACAACACAAAAAAACATGTTTCCTTTATTCCTTCCATTATTGTACAAAGAAATTTAAATTAATTGATTTATGAAGTTTTATAATTTAACTTGTTAGCAAAAAAAAGAAGGTTTTTTTCTACTTAAATACTCAAAAAAATAATTAATTTTTTGATTTATTTTATTTAAGAAAACGAATCATCGAAGCTGGTCTGTAATATGGAGGCACAGTTAGCAATTATACAGTTGTATAAAATATGTTATCGAAATATTTATATCAAAATTACGATTTCATTAATTTTTACTTTCACTTACCTATATATGTAATATATATAAATGGAAAATATTTGCGATAGTGAAAATATTTGGTTCTGAGTTTTAATAGAAATACATCTTTTGAGGTCCCTTGAGTTTAAAGTTTCCGGAAATACTAGTCAGGTATCAGTATAATATATCGTTGGAAAGCGGAGAATTTTGGAAAAAGCAATATCTAATATAGAAATTATTAAAAAGTATTGGAGAGTGAAGCAAAATTATAAATATTAATTTGTGAAAAATAATATTATTAAACGAAATCACATGTTTCCTAGGAAATTAAATGAAATTTACTAACTAAATGTAAACTTATGTAAAGTTTGAAAAAAAAGTATTTAAAATCCACCTAATCAAGGCAATGTCATTGTTAAAAAAACTATTTCATAATACTTATGTGAAATAAGAAGTAAAATATAAAAATATTTCCTGGATGATATTTATAACCTTAATACATTCACTGTAGTTTAATAGTTCTAGATCTGATATTATATTTAAATAATTAAGAAAGCTTTACCACGGCCTGGAAGGGTAAGACAATTTTCACTTACCGCTCTACTTTGAATTGAAATTATTTTCTGGCAATGTTGGACTGTTATAAAATTTTTGAAGTGCATTTTTAACCGAGCTAAAAGCTTACAGCTAACAAACCATAAGTTTCATAATATCAACGGTTGATTAGGGACTGTATGAACTGTTGATTATGGATTAAACGAATATTAGTTGTCAAACTGTTATTTTCCATTGCAAAGCTTACTAAAATGGATTTGCGAGATTTATAATTTCTTTCATAGACAGGTCCAAATTAGTCACACTAATTGTAAAAGGATACTTTTGGGATATGAAAAAGGAAAAAAATCATCATACTATTCACTAATTTCATTTTCAAAAAGGTTATATGATGATTTTTAGGAATAAACGGATGATAGATACCTAATTATTTAAATATAATGCCATTAATTATCACACTATAAATATAATATCCAGAGTTATTAAACTATAGCAAATGTATTTTAGTTTTATTATTTTATTTTATTTTCCTCCCTACCCTGGCTTTAAGACAATACGGGAGTTTGCAGTAGTGACTTGATACACATTCCTTCATAACAAATCACTGTTGAAAGTTTATCTTTTTAAATTGTGATAAATTGCTATGCACACAGCCTGATTGATAATTTTTCTCTAATTTTATCTTCTTCTCCTGTCCTAATCGGAGGCCTTCCAGGAATTGCTTCTTCACGCCTACCCAGAGAGAAGTGGATTGGGCCCACATCTTTTTTGCACCCGCAAACAAAGCTTTTATAGTGCGGCTAGTTTTGTCGAGATATCAGTTGGGGTAAGTTTCTTTCTATTAAAGCGTAGAGCTCTGTATCCCTCATGAATTTCGCCCTTAGTGCCTCATTGGATGTGCTCAGCGGTTTCAGGTACTCCACAAGTGAGGCATAAGGGATCGATGTTTTTACCATGTTAAGAAACTTTCGCTCTGAAACCCCCATGCCTCGTGAGGGTCTGTGAGATCCAGTAGTCCGGGAAGATGTATTTTTGTTTATAAAGATATCCATGAAATATTTTTGGTTTATTATTTTCAATAATGAACCATTATAATCGACCATAAATTTCAAAAACTTAAATCCCCCTCAAAATGTGAGGTTTCAGGGTACGTAGATTTCTAAAATCGCACACAATTGTTTTTTGTCCGTCCGTCGTCCACGTATTTTCTCCGAAATGACTTGACCGAATTTTTTGAAATTTGGATTTAAAGTCAGAGTTCACTCGAGGACGATCCTCCTTCATCGACGTTAATATCCACCTTTTCCTTTTAGATTGTGGCAGAAAATCCTGGGTTGCTGTAGACTGTAGCGCCTAAATGAATGTACCGATTTCAATGATACTTGTCTAAAGTCTTCCTCTCGATGCCCTTTAAATTTATCTATATAACACTCTTCAACGTAAAGAAGCTGGAAAAAAAGTCACGAGGGGTGGTAAAATTAGATTAGTAAAAAAGTATACACTTTTTTGAGAATATTGTGATTAGATGTTTCAAAGGTATTTAAATTTCCTAAAAAATGAAAAAAATTCAAGTTTCATCGAAATCAGAGTAATACTAGAAAAGATATCGGGATAATGTGGATATTGTATATGGTTATTTAAAAGTTTATGAAATTTCACTAAAAAAAAACACCTTAAAAATGGACAAGTTGGAGCAAAGATATGGTCTCTTGGTATTTTTTATATGTTCTACTGAAAATCCTTTGTTCAGGCTTTTGATTTTAGAAATGATGTAATACTATTTTTTTTTTGCAAATTACTAATGATGGAATAAAAAATGTTTAGGCCAATAATTGGAATCGCCTTTTATTTATTTTCCTTTACTCGGAAGGTAATGTTATTTTAGATGTATAATTGTTTGGAAATAATAAACCATTGTGAAATAATTTGCAGCGTTTATTATATTTCACTTCTTCTTTCACACAAGTACAATGACATAGTATTTTAAACAATGTTTTTGCCTTTATTCGATGGATTTTGAATACTTTTTTCAAACTTAAAAAAAATTTAAAAGTTTTCATTTATTAAGAAAATCTCATTCAATTTCCTCGGAAACAATTGCTTTACGTTAAATAATGTCAGATTTCACAAATTATTATTTATATTTTTTTTGTCGTCACTCTTCGTTACGTCCCACAACTTTATTTATTACATATTATTTTTTCTAAAATTCTTCGCTTTCCAAAGATATATTATACGTATACCTTTTGTTTATTATTTCCGGATATTCATTTTCGACCTGAATAAGCATTTTTATTTTTTCACCTTCATTCAATTATCAAATTCTTTCAAAAGTTATATTTAGTCTTTTTTCACAACTTTTAACAATGAGACATAGTTTTTAAACTATTTTTTTAAATTATTTAAAATAAACCAAATTAAAGATACTTTAGAGGAAGACATTTTGAACATTGGACATTTAATCCCCTTTAAGCGACATCAATGAGGGGATTAGCCCTTAAGCATATTAAAGACCACTTAATTATACAATGATTCACTGAGTTTAATCAAGATCGTTAGAACTATTTATGACAACATTGTAAAAACATCTTTGATATGAAGTGCCACTTTCGGTTAGCAGTTTTAGGAAAAGGATCCCAATTTTTACTATCGTAATACTTTCTCTTACTATATATTTCAGATATAGCTAAGTGAAACTAATAAGATATTTTTAATATTCCGCTATTCTTATATTATTTATCCTAGTTATTCTATATATTGACAACTGTGTCATTAACAACTGTTATCAGTTAAATAGTCTAAAATTAGTATTATTTTGTTGGTCGGGCGCTGTTGATTTGGTTTTTCTGTGCCAAAACATTAAAACAACTGAAAACATTAAACCATTAATCAACCGAACAAGATTCATTGTCGCTGGTATAAGGTTTGGTACACGCGTTATCTCAAAAACGGTACGTAAATTTTAGGGGTTCAAATCGTAGGATATAAATAAATAAATTAAAATGTAAATATTAGGATTAGGAACATTTGGTTGATTTTTAATAAATACTGGCCAATTCCTGTAATAGGATCTTAGGAAAAGACATTTAGATTAGCACCTCATGGCTGATAAATATTCAGCACGCAGTCATTATAAATGTTTTATTAGTGCCGACGTTTCAACCCAAACATGTGGGTCATCATCAGGGCGTGTTTCGTACACTGAAGGTAACGAAAAAAAAATACAAGTTATAATTTTATTGTATTTATTCTTTGGGGAAAACATGGATATTTTAGATGTGAGGTTATAAAATCACCTTATTTGTTAAAATTTTTAATGACTTTATTGAGTATTAATATAGTCTGCCACACTGCAGGGCATTGTTTCTAGTTCATTCCCACATTATATACCTAAGAAAGGAAAATAAATATAAAGAACTAAAGTAGAAAAAAATATATAAATTAATATACAGGATAAATAAAATAACAGATTAAATCGGAATGGTAATAAAGTAAATAAAACACCTCTGTACAATATTTACATTGGCCTAGGGGGCTCTGAATCAACTTTGTCCCCAAATGTGGAAGCCAAAGCAGCACTCTAGGAGATCCCAGTGCTTCTCTCCCAGCCGGGTCACTGGTATCGGAAGCCAGTTTTTCTCTTAATAAACCGTAACTTAATCGATATGGGCTTAAAGCTTATTTTCTAAAAGTGGGGTTTCTGTAATATAGTTGGAGAATAATAAAAAAAAAGGCAAATAATTTTAAAAAGGGTAAGGGTAAGTATTGCGATCGTGAAAATGTTTGAATATGAGTTTTCACGTTTTTAGGTGCAGAGTTATTTCGGAAATAATTATCTCATGTTTTTTTGCAATAATTTATTTATAATTTATAATAATTATGAAATAATTATTTTTTAAATAACTCATTTCGAAATAAGTTATATTATTTCAATGAATGATAAAATATTGAAATAATTATTTCAGAAATACATTTAGTAGTCATTTCATCAAGATTATTTCATTGGCAATTAGAAATATTATTTCAAAAATAACTATTATTTCGGAAATAATTCATGCATGAAG